CATCTATTATATAATAATAATAACAATTTTATCAGGCTTTTTTATGAATTACTGTATATCAATACATAAAATCCAAAATGAAAAATTTGCTGTGACTATTAACATCTGAAAAAGGTATTCTATCCTCTTTGAAGCGAAGTCGAATTTCGCTATGTCGAAGAAGGAAAAGAAGAAAAGTGATTTTGTATCTTCAGATAATTGAGAATTTAATCGCAATAATTGTGAATCAGTGCGAGGGGATAAACGTAAGTATACTGCTACTTTCACAATTCATGGTTAATAGTTTTAACTTTTAACTTATTCCTTATCTCTTTCTAATTCTAGAATTAAAAACCCACAATTTTAGACCCTATCATTTATCCTTTTTCTGATTCTTTGAATAAAAAGGCCAAAAGCTGAAATGTGTACCAATCGGTGCTACAGCGACCATCATAATTAATGATGATCGCGTGATCGTTAAGCCACTGGCGCATCCGAATCGCGTAACAATGTTGGTGACGTGAGTCACACCGAAAGATATTCGAATGTTCTCAAGATGACGTATAGTAGTATACATATGTGTAGATAGAGGTAAAACAGTCGCTATAGTCGGTGTACTGATCGACCGTGGTCTCAGTTGTCGGAGCCTCTTACGTTTGACAAATCATCTATTTTTGCCGAATGGACAAAAAATGTCTATATAGAAACATATAAAATAATACTTAAAAAAAAAGAAGTCTGTAAAGAGCCTGGTTTAGTGTATCGATTTTATTGTAATTTTCTTTTATGTCCATTTCTATCAATGTAGATTAATTTTAACTTCAGCTTAATTCATCTTCTTCCAATTCTAAGAATTAGGAGAGAGAAAAGGATAAATTAAAGTGAGATTAAAGTTAAACTATACATGGTAGAAATGGATATTAGAAAAAAATAAAGAATTAACCTAAGATTAAAGATGATTTACATTGATAAAAATGGATCTTATTTAAATTATAAGAAATGCAGACCTGTCAGACCGGATTAGAGATATGTAAACGAGATGAAATATTAAAAAGAGTAGTGGAATAGTTGTAAACGTATTGTTAAACGCGAAACTAATAGAAAAGAAGATCAAAAGGCGTTTATCAATATTCTAAGGCAAATCCTCTAAGAATATAAAATAATCAAGTAAAAGGGAAATGAAAAGAAAATACAACAGCAAAATAATATATCTACAAAATATAAATTAATTAATTAAAGATTGAAAACTTTAAGGACTCTTTTATATAATAATAAACAATACGGTTAAACAAGGGCGAAGTAAGAGTCAATTTATAATTAAAAATCTAATTAAATAACTCTGATAATTTATTCTAATATATATTCTTCGCAATATATTAGAATAAATTATCAGAGTTATTTAATTAGATTTTTAATTATAAATTGACTCTTACTTCGCCCTTGTTTAACGTATTGTTTATTATTAAATCAAAGATAATAAAAAATAAAAATTAGAAAAATAATAAACAAATTGTAAATAAAAGAGAATTCAGGATTCTGAGTTCAAATCTCGGTCGGAACTCCGTTAATTGTTCTTTACAGAAGAAAAGGAGAGCAAAAAAACGGTAGATAGTAGCAATCTCACGAAATCAATCGAGAGCATACCGATGTGATGAAACAAATGAACAAAAAAGAACCAATCTTATCGCCTTTCTTCTTCACTAATTGTAAAAATCGTTTTTTACAGACAGAGTTATTATTTTCCATTTAGTAACACAATAGTCGACACAGGTATTGTTCTGTCCTTATTACTCATGAAATTTTACGAAAAATAGAAACGTATTCCAGGAAAGATAGTCATTTGTGTCTCTAGATCCTGATGACGAAATCTAAGAGCAGAACATTCTACAGACTTTATCGGCAGTATATTCTGTACATATAATAAAATCTATTAGTGGATAACAACTGGACTGTAAAAACGAGATGAAGTTGCCGTTTTACTGTCGTTTAAAGTCATATTACGAAATAGCAGATTATGCTCGGTTTTTGCTGGCAATCCTTTGAACGTAGTTGACGTCAATCTGCGATCGTGACATTCCCCTCGAAATCTTTTGGCAAATTATTAACCGTCAACATTTTGCTTAGTAAGCCTGTTTCTATCAATATAAATTATAATTTTAATCTTGGTTCAATTAATTCTCCATCTTTTTCCAATTTTTAAAATCCGAAAAAAGGTAAATAAATGAATTGAGATTAAAATTAATTTTTACATTTTGGTAGAAATGGGCAGATTCTAAGATAAAAAGTAAATTGAGAGAACTGAGAATAAAGTTCGAGCTTATGTCCAAAAGATTTTATTCTGTCAATGTATTATTGATTAATTAAATATACATTGGTCTACCGGTTTAATCAACATCTTTCATCTGTTTTTAATTCTTAGAACTAGAAAAAGAAAAAATTAATTAAATCGAGATTAAAGTTAATCTATCGATAGAAATAATGAACAAAAAGGTGGCTTTTCGACTAAACTCCGATTAACTTAACTGACGATTAATCCAGTCGGCAAAAGCACCGCAGCGAAAACTTGGAACGAATACATTATATTTAATCTCTCACATTTTCTACATTCGAATAACACAAGGAGCTGTATAATAATTCTATTCATACTGACGGGGTATGTACTTTATCGCAGAGATATTACCACTTTAAAATTATACCCGTTTTGCGAACCAAAGCGAGACGTACCCGAGTTTCAGACATTATTATTTATGCTATCTCACGAAATCGTTGTCAACACATTGACGTCTGTGGGCACAGTCAAGTCCAATTTTCGACGAGGATATTTTAACATACCTATATCGCTCATCACGATCGATGAACTTCCTTTTGTTCAAAAGGAAGCGGCCGCGTAGGCCGAGCGAGAGACCGCGAGTTGGGTTATTCCAGGGGGAGGGGGGGGACGCGTGTTATTTCGCGGTTCGCGGTACGATCGACATCGTCGCTCGAACGTTAAACGGGAAACGTTTAAGGACGGCACTGGTGCGAAGTCTACTCACTTTTGGGTATTCGCCAGCAACGTCTGACGGCAAATCAGGCCCAACATCTTCCGGCGGAGACGGGGACGGGTATATTACACAGAAGGAGACAGACAGACAGAGAGGGAGGGAGGGAGAGAGAGGGATGACGTCGGCGCGCGCCCTTCGTCACACACGACGATGTCGACGATTCGAAGGGTGGACAAGAAGGTGCTCTTCCTGATTGACAGGTCTCGTCGGATGTTCGGATCACCTTTTTTTTCCTTCGCGCGCCCAGTGCGCCGAATTGCCGAAACTGCGACGGAACACACGGCCCGTCGATGCGAACACCGCGCCGTCGAGCAAACCGCGCTACATCGGGTTCCCCACCTCTCGCCCAGGGCCGTACGATCAGTCGGAGCGGCGGGAGGACGAGGAGAAAGAACGTGCCACCGGCACGACGTCCAAGTTCCAAATTAAATTTTCACGACGAATTAGAACCTACTCGTCACATGTTTTTTAACATGCGAGAAATACCCTTACTCATCTTTCACACATTAATAAATATTAATTCGCTGATTGTCTATTGCTATTATTGTTCACTAATGTTGTTCTGTAATACATTTGATCATCGATTTATCGCTAATGAAACCTGTGAAAAATTTTCCACACTTTTTTAAATCTTTTATCTTCAAGAAATTTTCATTTAATTTTTATTTCTTATTACTCTTTTGCTCCTTTTATTTACAAATATTAGTTCGATGTACTCCTGATGTTCAACCAATATACTGCCAATAAATTATTTCTAAGAGAAAATATAATAAATTTTAATCAACATTTATATTTGTGAATAGTACCAAATAAATGTTTACTTAAAGTAAATAAATAATTACTCAATATAAAAAGTTGTTAAATCGAATTAATTGTTCTTGTACGAAATAAATATATCTTTATATTTAATAAATTATCAGTTAAAAGAGCAAATTAAACTAATGATTTATTAAATTTAGTACCTATATATTTTGTCTTTAAATTATAAAATAATATTTATTTCTCTCTCGATGTTATTTAAAAGGAAGAGAGTTTTTCAGTTTGTTGTATGACAGAAATATTCTCACTACGATAATTGACTTGTTTCTGAGCGTTTTCAGTTACAAAAGAAGAAACGAAGAAAGAAAGAAGTAGTAATTGAAACTAACAATAAGTATATTGTCAAGCTTTATTCTTCATTCACGTTGCACGTTCCTTGAGCTCGTTGTGCGTACCGCATAAACCACTTATCACCCATTAGACTAATTCTAATCAAAATCAATGACGGTCGAACAGACCGTATAATGCAAGCATTCCTTTAATGTAACGCGTCTACATCGCGCAGGAGTAAGCGAAACAAGGGAAGACCAGACGGAAATTTGGTTTCTCGAGAAAAGCCAATCTTTTACCTCGGGTAGTAATCCGATTTGCAAAATAGTACAATTTACGTCAATTTTCATGCGCGATGCAAATTACCGTCTCTTTTTCCTTTTGTACTTTTAGGAAGTTCCCGTCGTCGAGCTTGAGGACGTTAGACTGCCTGAATTGTTAATGATACCTACCGACTCGCATATACGCCGCTGCAAACAACCGTATCTAAATGCCAAATGTGTCGGAGTACAGACAATTGGATTCTATAAGGGGCTCACGTAAAACGTCAATGTCAAAACTAAAGAAACATTAAGGAGATTGAACCACGCAATTCTAACTTCCCGATTTCCGAGAGTGAGCAGTCAGAGAAAGCATGTGACAAAATAAAAGTGAAATAGAAAAAGAGAATAGTAAATACTGTTATTAATTATCGAGAATAGTAAATACTATAATTATCATACTAAAATATAATACAGTTAATTATCTTAGGTACACTTTACTAGTGTATGTACACATTTCAAGTGCAAATTACTCGTTTTTTCTTATCAGAATATCTGTACTATAAGCGATTTCGATTTTAATGATCGCGAACGATTTATCTTGTAATTAATTCCGACAGTAGCGCGGATAAGAATAAGTACTTTCTGGTAAAAAAAAAGATTATTCAATTTATATATTAAAACAATCGATAACGCTGACAAGAGAATCAAACGCTATTATATTCTAGAAACGCTTATCATGGAGATTTCGAGTTGCGTACACTTCGCATTCGTCACACATGGTTATTTCTGATCATAAAGAATAGCGCGAATAAGTCATTGAAAAGAACAAGAAATAAGACGAGTCATACATCCTTAAAACAAAAAGAGCTCACTTACTCGTCGAAGGCCAGAATGCGTTATGTAAGGTGATCCATTTTTAAACAAACGTCATCGTTGTGTACTATGTGTGAATATTCGCAAGCGCATGTAGGTTTTTTAAAATTACAATCTTGTTTTGAAACCAAGCGTGTCGGTATTCAACTCATTATTTGTAAATAATAATAATAATCCATATCTTCTGAAAAAGATAGACAGCTGTCATCAAACAGAAAATAAATAATCACACAAAAAATGTTACGCTTGCCACAACCGAAAATGATGATAATTTTTGCCCATCAATACATTTGGTTGTGATAACCGTAAGATAGACATATCTTAACAGTCATAACTTGTTCTTATAATCAACTACGGGATCTTATAACAAAAAAAAAATGTATTGACGAGCGACTTTTAGTCATAGCAGCTATAGCCGTTTTTCCTGTGATGATTTCAAATTTTTCAAAGCGCGTTTGTGAAATGCAGCACTTTACAAAATCATCAATTCTCCTCTTGTTGCATTTGGAGCTCGCGTAGAAGTTGCGCTCTTTGCTTTTCTAGCTCGTCCTCGGAGAGTTCATGGTGCTCGTTATTTTCTGTAACGGAACCTTCGCTGTGAATAGAAGGCCTTCTGTGCTTCTCCTCCTTCCGTTTCCTTTCCGGAGATTCCTCAGAGGATGGAAGACCGGAATGCGAACGCTATGAAGAAATATCAGGAGAGTGATAAAATTTGGAAACTCTTTCTCTGAGAAATCTTAATATTATTAATACATACAGAATGGCTGCGGCCTCTCTTCTTCTTGTTCTTCTTCCTCTTGGACTTCCTCGTTTCCGACTCGGAACTGTCAGACTTGCTAGGAATACTGGGTGAATGTGACTTGTGTCGCTTTCTTTTCAAGCCTTTCTCGCTACCTTCCGATTCCTGCTAAGAAAAAAAACACGTCAATTTTATACTTTTCATTAACCAGGGATGATAAGAAAACGACTATTTTCTATAACACTCACACTGTGTGAATGCGATCGTGATTTGCGCTTCAATTTTTTTGCCTTTTTCTTCTTACTTCTAATATGATGATGACTGCAACTTTCTTCAAGCTCGTGTTGATATTCCTTGAATATCCGTATTCTTTCGCTCTCCAAAGTGATCGCCTTGAAATCTTGTTCTTCTTCGATTTTCGATCTCACATCCTCCCACGCCATTTGATAGTCTACGTTTAATGTCTTAAGCAAATTCTTAAAACCAGTCTCCAGTTTCTTGAATTTCCGCGTCTCTTCTTTAACGCGTTCCTTCTCACGTGCCTCTGCTTTTTCCAGCAATAAATTGTACGTTAATTTAACGTTACCTGCATCTAGAGTCGCGGATTTTCGGTCTTCGCATACAACCGTGGCGAATTCCTCAAAAGTCGTATTCACTTGCACCTCAAAGTTCTTGTCTTTGAGTATCTCGCGAATGATCTTCTTCTCATCATGAAATCGAGATTTCAAGTCTTCAACGTAGAATTTGAAAAGGTCCAACGGAGTTGAGCCCGATTGCCCAAGCATAGCCGAAAACCGAAGATCGGCAGATAACATAGGATATAATTCTACCCATAACGACATCGATGTGAGTTTGCCTTGTTCGTGAAGCTCGTCAAGTAAATACTAAAATACATAATCTTTTTTACATACACAAAATCGAAGTATTGTGATCTTATTAGTGTAATACATAGGGATGAGAGTACCACGTTATACTTATAACGCCGTTATATTTTTTATAATAATGATTTGATAATGATGTTACAATTTTTCATAATTGTTGTAACGCTAACGCAAAGATTGAAAAAGTCATTTTTATAAATACTTCGTTTTACCATTATAAATTACTCATATTATGTAACGAGTTACTTTTTTACGATTTAAATAATAAGATTTTTTTCAATAAATAACGAGTAACTTATTTTTTGAAAATACTTCGTTTTACCATTATAAATTACTCATATTATGTAACGAGTTACTTTTTTACGATTTAAATAATAAGATTTTTTTCAATAAATAACGAGTAACTTATTTTTTGAAAATAATTCTAATTCTTGCGTCAGCATTATCGTTATAAAAAAATTAAAATAACATCATTATCACAAATCATTACTACATATAAAGAAATAATGGGAGGGAGGAGGGATAATGGTATTTAACAAGTAACACGTTACTTTCCATCCCAGTCGAAACATAACATAATATACGTAATTGTAACAATTAACAATGGAATTGAGACCAACTCGTAACACTCACTATGAAACCATCTCTGTTTTTCCTCTCTTGCCGTTTCCTACGTTTCTTTTCGCATTCTTTTTCTTCTTCCTCATCTTTCTCTAATTGGCGGATGTGGTTTTCGAATACAATTAAAGCGTCCTCTTTGTCCATCTCTAGCAAGTCTGCGTCTTCCGCGAATGCAGGATACTGCAGCAACAGTGCCTGCGCCTCTTGCCATGTAGTCCTGTATGTCACGTCCGTCATAGTGTCCAAAACTTGTGCCAATCTTTTGGTATTTCTCTTTTTCAATTGTTTCGCCTCTTCTTTCTCACGTTTCGCCAAATTGAAAATAACATCCTCGTAGATGTCTCGGCGATCCGAATCTCCAACCGACCGCCAAACCTCTAAATTACCAAACATCTCCTCGCATTTGTAATATTTAGTCGTGCTTACCATTCTATTGTTTTCTAACAGGAATTGTTCTAAATCTTCCTTAGCCTTCTTCAATCTGCCAAAAATATGCTTTATTATTACCCAGTTGAATCGTACATAAAGTACATCAAGATAACTGATTATCTTGGTGTAAATAATTCATTTGCTGTACATTTTTAATATCTCATTTTATATTTCAATAGCTTATTCCTTTATTAAATTAATTATAATATATTATAAAATATAGTTTGTCAGTTTTATTCTTTGACTCTTATATATATGCCCTTTATGTTATATAATTGTATTTAATATTAAGAGTCCTTTGCTTTCATATCAAATAATAAATAATCGTGACATTTACCTGAGTCTTTCTTGCTCGCGCTCTTCTTTCAATTTCTGCGTCTTGTACGAATGGAAAGCCTGTTTACGTTCATTTAACTTCTTCATCTGCGGATATCTAGGATCGTTCTGAATCAATTTGACCGCTTGTTCCCACGTGGCATTTGATGGAACATCCCTCTCCCTCAGTAATTCTTTGAATGCCTCGATAGCTTCCTTCTTATCCTTGAATTGCATTTTGGGCTCGGGTGTGCTGGTGCGGCTGTCATTGGCCGAGCCCATCGCGGAATTACTATCCTCGTCCGGTTTCGTGGGAGGTGTCGGAATATTAATTGCTGCGAGGGTCGCGGCCATAGCCTGTTCAATAGCAGACTTCCCTCCTGATTCCGGCGTACTGGTTTGCGATATAGTCGCGACATTCGGTGACAAGTGTTGCATAGCTGCAGGAACGTTGCTAAAGAGAAAGATTACAATGAATGTATAGAAAACTTCTGAAATAGTGGAAAATAAAATCTACAATTTCTATATTATTATTTTACTCACGAATTCGTGGCGTTTGCCACAACCGCTGCAGCAGCTGCTGCAGCTTCCTCGGCTATAATTCGCGCTTTCAGCTCTTCCAACTCCGGCGGTACCGTCCATCTGGACTCCTTATTGTTTACATTGTGATAATACACCTTGCCATTCTCCGACTTGTATTCTTTCCATGGACACTGTGATAACAACAATTCGCTTGGGGTTTTCAGTTCATCCGGCTTTTCCCATAAAGACTGCTTTGTGACGCTGTTATAGTAGTACGTTCTGCCGTCGGGTGCTTTGTGCTCGCTCCAGTCTGTCTTCTTGTCTGTTGTAGAAGCAGACATTGTTGCATTAGTATCGCCGTTGATAGGCGATGGAGGAGGAATTCCTGGCGCTGTTATTTGCGGTGACGCAGCTGTAATGTAAAGAGAGAGAGAGAGAGAGAGCGCTATTTGAGCAATGGGGTTCGTAGATCAATGTGGATATTTAGCGATGGATATTAACCTATGACTCCGGCTTCTTGAGGAGGTGCTGCGGTGATAGGAAAAGTAAAACCTGGCGGAGGTATGGAAAACTGAGGTGGCATTATACCCGGAGGACCTGGTGGTAAACTGGGAGGAGGAATAAATGGTGCCGCAGGCATAATAGGTGGCACAAAGCTAGATGCAATATTTGGCGTTGTCGATGGAAATCCTGTTACAGCAGCAGGTGGTGGAATACCATCGTTTGAAGCCTAGTAATGTTTATACGATGGTCAGCAATTTTGAAAAGCATAACATAATGGCTATGTTCAGCAGGGAAAGCAGCTTTGTAACTGTTGTAAAATACTTCACAATATGATTGATTTATATTATTTTATTATTGTAGCTTCTTAAGAAATCAAAGACAAGGATTGGATTAGAATACGGACCAATTTTACAACAGCTGTAAAGCTGCTTTCTCTATTGAAGGTCAACTGTGTAACTCTACCCCTAGGACATAAAAAGTAACAATTATTATATAGGCATGTATATACATATACACACATATAAGAAATTTATGTATGTATAATATATCAAAGATATAAGATCTGTTCTTTTTCCATACTCCAGACTTAAACTTCTTGCATGGCTTTTTTGTTTTTTTTTTCTCTAATAGAAAAAAAGAGAAGAATATTGAACAATGTGTAAGAAATTCAGTTTTAAAGTAAAAAAAAATAGATCTATAGAATATGGACTGCGCCATCAGTATCTAAATAATGTGGCAAATCTTGTTTTAACAAAAATGAGAGAGAAAAAGCGCACATGAAAACATACAGCCAATCTCTCTCTCTCTCTCTCTCTCTCTCTCTCTCTCTCTCACACACACACACACACACACACTCTCTCAGATATTGTAATTGAGTAGAAAGAGATAGACACCATCTGCTTTATGTTCTTTCATTTTTGTCAATTAATTTTATGCACGGATAACACAGTTGTGTTAAGTAAGCAAAAAATATTCTGATGGATCCTAGCAAGGTTGCAACAATGTTGGTACAATGTTTTAATAATATTTTTTTGCTTATTGGATGCTATCTTTAGTATATACATATACATACATACAAAAAATTTTCACTTTTCAGTTTCCACCCTAAGAAAAAAGTTACTTGATCGACCTTCTGAATACAGCCAATGTTTGTTGTCAGTGCTACAGGATCTGGCTTGTAATTATGCTACTTTTCCTTTTCTTTTACCTCAAACAGATTTTATAAACAAAAAAAAATAAAACTAGAAGTATCACAGCGAGCTAATATACTATAATATATCTATATAAACATTATTATTGTTCGCACTAATAATTATTGTTATTTGTTGCTGCCATGTGTCATTATATTAAAGGATTATTCAAAGCAGACAAATTAACTTAATCTTTATGATCAGTATTTATAGTCAGTTCCCATATTCAAGACTTTTTAAGTTCAGTCATTAGTGTCTTAAAACATTACTTAAGGGATGCTGGGCTGCGTTCAGAATCATCATCTGAGTGCACCCAGGTGTCGTGTTATCCTTGTTTATCATTCGTGAACAACAAAGATAAAACAACATCTGGGTGCATCCGGACGACTATTCTGAACGCACCCCTGAAGTGACCAAATTATTAACACATTACAGTCATATAAAAATCTTCTAATTGACTGAATGAAATTAAAAATCTCTTTACAGGATTAAAATAGATACAAAGTTAAGAGGTATTGCAGTGAACTTTATACTCTAAAATCGAAAAAAACTTAAATAAATTTCTAACTTTTTATTTTAGTGTAAAGTGCACTGCAGCACCAACTAATTTTGCGTCACTTTAATCTAATAAAAGGATTTTTTATTCTATTTAGTCAATTCGCAGATTTTTATATGATTGTAATGTCAATAATTTGGCCACTCTAGCATCCTTTTAAAACGGTCTTGAAATAAAATCCGACTATGAATACCGGCTATAATGTACATCTCAAGTGAAGAGGTTATCAATTACGATACTTATAGATTGTAACACTCGATCTACATGCCATTTGTTTAAAGATCGCTGAGTGGAATTCCGCAAAACACAATTTACAATCGTTCGATCACAACACCATTAGAACATCAATAATGTCGTGCGTAAACTTTTTAATTCACAACCATTCGCAATTCATAACCTGAGTTGGCTGGACGCTGGAGTTAGATCGCTGATCTCTATATGCTTTGGCTCACTTACGCTCACTATAATTTTCAGCCATAACGACAAAGAAATTTTGTATTATCGACTGAAGATAAAACAGCTGGTGTTAATTTAAATAATTTAACTAAAAGATCAGAAATTATTTTATATATATCTGAGAATGAAATTAGTCTGCCAATAAATAATAATATAGTTGTATATTTTTTCTTTAAAAATAAATTTTGAATTTAATAATTATCTGAGAAGGAATGTTTTATAATAAAAGAAAATTAATTTATGAATATTTGTAATTATTATTCATTTACACAATAATAACATAACAATTGTTATTTGCCTAATGAATGTTCAATGATTGAAGAATGATACAAAGGTACTCCTTGTAAAGAATGGGAGTTGGCGTGGTCAATTCGTACAACGATGTAATCACCAGCTTGTATCTCCCTTGTCGTAGTAGAGTGTTGAGTAATTGGAATAGCTGTAGATGGTAGAACAACTCTTACATTACCATCGTTTCTACCTTGAAATTGTTGATCAGATCTCTTACTCGTCTATCGGTAGAAAATATAATATTCACTATATTAAATCTATTATTCTTATAAATGATATCACTAAAAAATATTGTAAATATTTGCAAATACTTAAATATACTAACAAAAACATAATATTCGAAGCATACAATTAAAGTATTTATGGAAGGACAAAAATTATGATGAAAGGGCGAAGATGCTGACACAGAAAGAGGTGGCACTTTTTATTGCAGTATGTAATAATAAACTTGACAAAATACTTACGCTCTCCACGAGAACAAGTTGATGTTGACCTATCTGTGCTTTATTTAATTTTTCCACTTCTTTTCTATATAGTGCGACCATACGGTTCAAACGATTCATCTTTATGTGCGTTTCAACGTCGTCCTTGTATCGCCTGTGTGCCGTAGTTTTCTGAAGAACATTACAATATTTGTAATATGTAATTACAAAATAAATTAGAAATTTTTATGACAAATTATTTTGATATTAATTGCCTGAAAAGATTGTATATAAGAATTATACCTCACGCATGCTATAGGCAAATAAGTATGCGTTGTTGTATTTAACTTCTTCTATTAGCGACAGCGTATCTTGAAATTGCTCCTCGGTCTCCCCGCAGAATCCAGCAATAAAATCGCTAGAAAGGTACACATTTGGGAGAATATCACGTATATGATACACTAAGTCTAAATACGCTTCCTTAGTGTACCCTCTTCTCATTTTTTCCAAAACTATGGAGTTGCCGCTTTGTGCAGGCAAATGAATCTGCTTACAGATGTTTGGTCTTTCAGCTACCAAGTGTAATACTTCATCGGGAAAATCCTTGGGATGAGGCGATGTGTATCTGTAAATCAATAAGATTATTATATATAAATATGTAAAGACAGATTATTATATATAAATATGAAAATTGATGTTGCTTTATAACTTTATTACCTTATTCTTATTTCTGGATTAATCAAAGAGACTTTGTCCAAAAGATCGCTAAACCTTACACCACCTTTCTTATTCTTATAAACTGTTTTGAAACCTTTAGCAAGACAAGTCTCCATGTTTGCTGATAAAATAAATTCTGATTTTGATAAATCTCTGTAACTATTTACATTTTGTCCAAGCAAAGTTATTTCCTTTACGCCTTGATCTGATAACTGCCTAACTTCGTCAAGTATACTTGCAATTGGTCGCGACCTTTCTCTTCCTCTTGTAAATGGCACAATACAGTAAGTACACATATTATCACAACCTCTCATTATAGAACTGCAAATTATAGATAAAATAAAAGCTAAAAGTTTATATATATATATTTTTTAATGTAAAATATATTTTAAAAAATATTTATATATGTTACACATATGCTCCAGTGGAATTCTGATTGAGTCTAACTGGCATGACATCTGCATATGTTTCATCAAATGACAATAAGATATTCACAGCAGTTTCATCATCTGTTACCGCCAGAAGCCTTGGCAAATCCTTGTAACTGTCAGGACCTGCTATTACATCTACAAGCTTTCCTCTGTCTAATATTTTAGTCTTCAAGCGCTCCGCCATACATCCTAATAAAAATGTTTATTCTTATATAAGTCAAAAATTTAAATGAAAGCTTCTTAATACATTACCAAGTATTAGTTCAGCTTGCCTAAAAGACCAATCTTCATAGGCCATCCACTGATCATCTTTCTTTTGTTTCTCACTCCATTTAAGTTCTCCAACTTATTCCATACTTTCTGTTCTGCATTGTCTCTGATAGAACAGGTGACCAGTAATACAATATTTGCATCGTCCAAACATTCGGTATGCTTGTAGCCATGTGATTTCAATATTGACCATACTATATCAGCATCATTGACGTTCATTTGGCAACCGAAAATTTCGAAGTAGACTAGCACAAACAGACCAAGTAAAGATGAAGCACAAAGTCAAATGACAAAAAAACATAGGTGTCTGAGAAACCTTTTTGATTCTCGCCACGAATATTTTCCACATACGGAATAGGTTTTTCGCTGGGAGTATTAATAACAGACGGGCTTAAGAAATCCTTCAAAGATGGTCCATCTCTGACACTCCTCATTGGTTTTTTATCTATAGCAGCTTGCTCGATTGCATCTGCATTAACTGCTGATGTATGCAAAGACATAGGGATCGTTCCATGAATAGCATAACATGCTCGCATTCGATGAGAAACTGTATATTTCCGTTGTATAAAATATTTTCTAAGGTAGTTCCTGTAGTACATCCCTCTCGACATAGTGAAATTAAATCAAACGTCTAGAAAATTTGAAGATATTACGCGTTGAAAATTGAAAAATAGGATAATAATACTGCATTATAAAATTCTGTTAAAAAAATACCTTTGTTAAATATGTTAATCTCCTTTCAGTTCAGTTAGTTGAATCCTTACCACAAGCGATTTTATTTTATAGGTTACGAAAGCCAGTGGGTGAGATATACATTGCACAAGTATTAGACAATATAGACGCCATATAATATTTATACACAAAAAACATGTGATTATAAGTTTAATCTTTGTAGATGCATTGTTAAATTTCTTAAGATGGTACTTAAGATAATTATATAATGAGAAATTGAGCAGAGAGTACAAAAAACTCAACTATAAAACAAACTTAAGATCTGTTCTTTCTACACTTGAAATAACTGGAGAGGTAAGGTGAAACCTTTCAAGAAGCTCAGCTACAAAAAATAAGTCCTATATATAAACTCTAATCAATGATAATGTTTCGGGGAAAAAAATATACAACAGAGAGGTTTCTGTCAATTTGTGTATTTGCTTTCTTTTTTCGAGATTTACTTATCGTTTTACCTAAAATATAAACGTAAAAACAGGACAGTCCTTTCAATATGAATCTCATCTATAATATTATGACTAATACACGCTTTATGTACAATTTTATAATATATACAATAATACAAGTGTACCGTCATCGTCACTATTATGGATAGTGTGAAAAAATAGTGATTGCAACATTTATTAACACTGAATAATACATTAAATGGGATCAATACAGATCCTATTTTCATTCTGCGCCATAAAAAACATAATATAAAAAGACACCAATATGAAGTGAAAAAGCTGACTCTTCTCTAATTTTTCTTTCTTGTAAGTTGTACATTGTTTTCGCAAGTTTTAATGAAACATATTCAGTTTAAATTTCATTTTCATATAATTATGTAGAATACCAAGTAATAAAGTCATTGCATATATATATATACACACATTAGCGATTCGATTAGCATATTGTAACAGATTGGAACTGCGCATTACTTATGCTTATCTTTATTGGCAGGTCCAGTGACATGACTGCACAGAAATTATAGAGAATGCTAGTAGACTCATATATATCGTTGAACGCATTGATTCTATTAGCAAACGCCTTACAAAATTTACTATCGACAGATTTAGTTATTTTGGATTATATCGCAGTTTATTGCTGAATCTCTTTGCTCATAAAATTAAATTAAATATAATTATTAAAGCTATCACAACAGTGTGCAAAAACATGATCTTCCTTTGGTGAGGCACACTGTATACAAATTTAACAATGAATTTGTGAAAAAGAATCACTTTAGGACTGATACACAAGTTTCAGTATAATAATAAATTACTGCTGCTGTAACAAAAAAAAAGGACTGTAATTAAGGTACTTGAAACTTCGAAACATTTTCTCTAGTTACTCATTAATCTCTTTTATACAATCGCACTTAATTTTATATTAATTTTTACATCGATAATAATTATTTCATAATTCTCTATTCATTTTTCTTTGGAGCAAATAAGCGTCTAGCATCATTGTCCTTATAAGACTCAGCTAAGCTCCATTATTCTAAAATAATTTACAAAATGTTCAACATATTTTCAACTAATAAATACAATTTCGATTCACATTTCCATATTTTCTAAAGAGCATTGGATCATTAAAGATACAAGTCCACAAGAAAAGATACGGTTGATTATCTCACTTAGAATATTAACAAAATATTAACAAGAACTTCAAATTATTAATAAAAATTTCCAAATCCGTAGAGTGTCATTTCTTTCGTAAATAAAAAGAAAATGTTAATTTCTAAAGACTACGTATAAAATAAATTTTTACAATAACTTACAATAAATATGATATGTCTTTGTTTTGTCAATATTCTAATTCCTATATGTACGTCCTTTTAAAGGAAATCAAGATAATAGAAAAATTGATACTTGATATATAATATATATCATAATATCGATAGTACAGATTTATCGAATGAAAATTCATTTTATGTCATAATACAGTAAATACAAAAGCGGATAATAAGTAAGATAATCATCCTTGTCTATCTATTATTATCCTATATTTGGTCAAATCATTTCCGATATACAACCAGTAAGCGATTTTGTTATTTGTATAACTAGTAATGGTATATAAATAATTATCGCTATTAACATATATTCTTTCAACCCACATATGTATCAATAAAGTAATTTTTTTTTAGAAAGAATATAACATTAATTTTTTAAATTCCTCTGTCGTGTTGCACAAATAAAGAGAACAAAACACAGATTTCATTTTACTCCATTTGTTATTTTAAATATATAACGCAGCTTTGATTCTGTTATACTATACATTTGTTTTGAATTTGTATACAAAATAAATTTAATATAAAATAGCACAATATCGTGATGCAAAGAATCTTTAAAATTTTCTTCGATAAAATTTGTTATATTAAAAAATTGTCAATGAAATAAAAAGGCAATTAAGAGCCAATATTATATGTGTGATCTAATAAACCATTTAATATATTATAAATTAAAATAAAATAAAAATAAACTAAAATTCTCTCTGTGGAAATACTCAATGTTTTAGAACATAACACTCCATTATAGTTTTATTCTTGTTTTTTCTGCGTTAACTAAAGATGTTTTACTGCGTTAATTAATATTTATATGTACATCTGAGGATGGCTCGAATATGCAGCCGAAACGTTATGGTTTTGACTTTTGATTGCGTGCGCATTTATAGTGTGAATTTTAGTTTATTTTTATTTTATTTTAATTTATAATATATTAAATGGTTTATTAGATCACACATATAATATTGACTCTTAATTGCCTTTTTATTTCATTAACAATTTTTTAATACTAAGAGTCCTGTATATTCGTTCTATTTGTTATATTAATTTCTCGTGTGTGTTGTGTTGCGTATGCTCATGCATTATATATATATACATGGATATTTTGTATAATATAACAGAAAATTTATCATAAAATAATAGAGAATTTTGTATACTTTATGTTGTTCCGAATATACAATGTATATTTAATTAAAAACGAATTTGAAACAAAAATATATATTTTTTTGGTTAAGTGTAAAATAAACTAATATATTAAAAATTTTTTCGGAAACGCGGTGGGTTGAATATACATATTATCTCAATTTCAAATAGCATCAGGCACTGTCAACCCTTCGTAGATTTCACATTAAATTCAAACTTGCATTTAGTATTTCGTTTAAATATACACAAATGTTTTTTGATACAATTTTATCTCGCATACGAAAAACTAAACGTTGCAAAAAAAGAATCCTGGAATTCCTATTCATTTCCTTCTTTTATGATGTGCGATTTTCTCTATAATCTCTTGCTTCATAGATAATAAAGGATATGTTCTCATCTTTATATAGAAATCGCACGATAATTATTGTATAATGCTTCATCGATAAGCTAGATCTTTGCTTTTGATCCAACAAAGTGCACAACAAAATTTAGACAATTCAGTACAGTGTGTGTGTATATGTGTGTGTGGGTGTGTATGTTAGACTATGGCATTTTAATAAACTTAATAATATAGATCACAAGTGATTATAGACAGGTTAAGTATAATAGGAAATGTAAATTGTAAGAGTAATATAATTATTATATCCTAAATTCGACATGGGCGTTGAGGACTGGATAGAATTATGCACCGATTCATTTGATTGCACTTATACTTCTGAAACAATATATGTGGATTCGTATTTAAAAGATTGATAAAGTCATTCTTACACCATTATTTCACAATATGCGCAATTATTGTCTTGTATGCCAGCATCCAAGACATTTTTATGTGTGCGCCAAATGATATCCGGCAAAATTCCGAAATTATGAAAAAGTGCATAATAGACGATAAAACAAATGTGCGAATATATTATTTACATGTAACGATATACAGATACGCGTGATTTGTGAAACATATCACGTTACGGTTGTGTGTGTATGTGTGTGGGCGCGCGCGCGCGCGTGTTATTTAGGATATTATAAAGTATCCAAGATGAAAAAACTTTGAATCTTTTTTCTGATCGACTTAAAACAATTAAATTTTAGGAAGAGACTATATATATATATAATATTAATCAAGAAATATAATTAAACAGAATTTAATACACAGTCAAATATTACTCCGTTTTTTTCACATTATTAATAAAGTGGTAAATAAAAATCATTGCTTGAATTCATGGCTGTAGAGTGCCACGTGATGATTAAACGCTTCCAAACTTTTAAGTTTTATTTAAGCACACTTTCACGAAAATATACATATTGTACATTTTGTATGAGAATATTTTTCTCAAATAAAATTCTTAGTGTTATACAGGATAACAAGTCCAGGAGTCAAACCTAGATCTTTTACTCGTCAAGCGGCTATCTTAACATTAAACTAGCACCTTTCCACATGATATACCCAAAATTTCTATGAATTTATCATTTACAAAGCCAAAAATTAAATAAAAGTGACAGTAGCTTCTGTGATTGACGTCGAGAATGTTATTGAAATTTGCTAAAACCTCAAGCGCAAGTTTTTCCATTGATTATCAAAAGTAGTCTTATTTCGAAAAAACCGAAACTCGCTACTCAAACTCTCTGGCAAAAACTTGCACAAGAGTTCCTTCGCAATCTAGGTTCTTCACATTATTAAGACAATGCCCTTGTTATGCATGTATCTTAACAACTTATCTTCGTGGCACCATTGTGATTCAGCTTGTGATTTATAGCGCAACCGTCCTCTTGAATGGTTTTAAGATATTCTTCTAACAGTGACGCCAAGTTACGTCGTTTAAAGCGTAATGATTCTTTTACTATATCTTTTATAAACGCAAGCCGTATATCTAGAGTCCCCTGAACTTGATGTAAGTGTGAGAACAGTGTTGCGTAATCTGAAACGAAATGAATGAGTCACGTGTTAACGCTGTTACGAGAATCGTTAGCGATAAATATAACTTTTTGTTAATCATTAATCTCGCGACGTTTCTCAGGATATAAAAGAGAACCGACTGGCGCGTTGAAGACTTACTTTTCCCTCTTCTTCGCACTTCCTTGTAAACGAGTTCCCGGATATTCAGATTGTGTCGCCTGATGTCTTCCAATTCCTTCTTCGTCAGCTTCTTCTCTCTCTCGGACTTCGGTTCACGCTTCTCCTCTACATGATTCGTCAGTCTCTCCTCAGCAGCACTGTCCACTCGCATATTATTCTCAATACAATCATTAACTGGTAACCGATTACACTCGTTCTTCACATTATCTGTTCGTTCACTTTTAACATCACCCTTCGATATTGCGTCGACATTATTAACTATCGGCGTCAGAACGGGCGGCGTGTCCATATGATTGTTAACGTGTTCCACTGGAATCGGCTCGAAAACTGGTATAATTGGCATTTCCGCGAGACCGTTTACCAACTTTTCGGACGCGCTTGAACACGGTAACGACGCGTGACCCGGCGATACATTGGGTAAACAAGACAAGATCGGTGGAGTGCTCGTATCGGCGACTGGTGTTGTTGCTGCTGCTGCTACTGTTGCTGTCACCATTACTTGACTCTTCGTGTCCTCCATCATCCAAGGAATCGGGGAACTCGGTGGAGTATTAGTATATGAAGGTCGTCGAACGATCACGTCTTTCGGTATGGGTCCAGGCTTCCTCTTGTTGGGAGGCGGCCTCGGGGAGGATGAGCCTACGTTATCCGATTGCGGTAAGGTGCGCTTAAGACCACCTTTCGATGTTGAGGCTGTTGCACCGACTATGTCAATATCTGCCTCATCTACCATCATCCTTTTGTCTATTTTGAAGGGATTACCTGTAATAGAAATATAACATTAATTATCTTTCTATATACACACACAGTCATACAATCACGGAAAAGTTATTTTTGCTAAATAATTACCGAACATATGCTGTCTAACTGGTACACTTTCGATCTCTCTCAACGGTGGAGTCATACGTTTCAAGTATTCCTGATAATTTCCCATTTGGGCTAAAGGCATCGAATGAACGTAATCATCATCGAGTAATTTTGTATGCAACAAGCCAGGTTGTAGGAAATTTGCGCGCATCCGCACAACTTGATCGAGCAAGGATTTTCTCGGCACATCAAAAGCGTTCCTATAACTGTGCGCGCCACGTTGCTGTTGTTGATTTTTCACTAACCCGACGACAAAACCTCCGAACTCGTTCAGTTGATCGCGGAGGCTCGTGAACTTGTCTTGTAACAAAGGATGGGACACCTACAAAGCACACAAACACACACAAACTTTAGTAACTATTAAAGCAATTTTAACTTACAATGTATTAAAATATGATGTTTTAATCTTGAATCTTTTAATGTATTAAATCTTACCAAATCTTTTTTTAACGGTGACTTCGGTACAACTCTCACTCCTTCCGTCACCACACTCGTGGTACAGTTAGATAAATTCTTCGTAAGATTCGAAGCAGCGACTTGCTTGGAAATGACTTCGTTACACAGCCGATCAAATTCGATCTTAGCTTGATTTTTCAACCGTTTTAAATAATTTAAAACACTATACGATAAAGAATTATCCATGTTATCGGGTATCAAGGTTTGTGCTAGAGGTGTAGACGCACCCATTCTAGTTAATGCCCTTCTCAACGACTGCAACACAAACGACATTTTGATAAAAAATGTTTTCAGAATATGTAGTTACTCACACAAGTACAAGAAAACTTACGGCGGCGTAATAGGTAGGCATGGTCCTTATATAACCCTGGAATTGCGCCCTCCATTCAGGTGTCGGTTTTTGCCTATGTACCTTGAAGAGCTCTTCTAACAGTGGTAACAGCACGGGATAGTTGTAAGGCATGACGAAGAGATTTACACAAGTTAAGTTTGTACTAGCTTTCAAGTAACCGAACGGATGGCCCACTTCACTCGACTTATACGAATTAGCAACAAACACTTGCCAACATGTTGTCGGCTGTTTCCTCGCTAGGATGTACTGTGTCAGAGGACTCGGTTCTAGTTCGTACTTGTCAAAGGGTAAGTTCTCGATCACCATTGGCTCCTGACTGGTGCACGTAAATTTCACATTCGGATGCGCCGATCGTGGCGGTAACGAGCTGGCGCTAAGATCTGGCCAGAAGCTTTCGGGGATCGGCCAAAAACCTACCGCGAATCCTTTCTGAGCTGACCGCGGGACGTAAATTAAGCGTCTGCAGGAATACCAAGCCGTGTTTCCCGGCGCCAACGTATTGGAATACTGAGTGCGTGGTCCGTTCGTTGCGTTACCATCGTCCTCATTTTCCTCCTCGTCCTGATGTTGTGGGGCTTCATTGGTTAACGGTGGTGGGTCAGGACCGATTTTCTCGAAATTTATCACTACACCTGATTGAACTTTCTGCACCAGAGAATCTATGCATTGTATCATCATCCTGAATGACGTGATGCAATACGAACGACCTATAATACCCAAGAAACAAATTTAAAATTTATTTCAATTCCTTTAGATACTAGAGGAAACTGTATGCTATTCTAAGATCGCTAAGATTAAAAACTGCATCTCCTTTACCTCCGGTCACTTCACACATTGCATCTATCGGTGACGCGTCACTTGCCACTAAGCCAATGTCTCGTTCGACGGCTGGTGTTCCTGATAAACGCAATACCAAAGAGAATAATCTTTGGTCCCATCTAAATGGCTCTTTCGTCAGTTCAGATCCAGGTATCGGGGCATGCATTGGTAATGTAAACTACAAGAGAAATTTATTTGTACTTACACAATGAAAAAGAATCGTATGTTTCATTTAACAGTAACAGAAGATTGCACTTACATCTTGGTTGACTCCGCTGCTAGTCGTATATTTTCCTCCGTCTGTTATAACAACTATAACGGATGGTTCTAAATAAAACGGGCATCTTCCTTGGCCATAAGTATCTATACCAGTCTGCATACGGTTTATGTTCAGTACGTCTAACGCGTGTTTCAACGCGGCACCTAACGTCGTCAAACCGACGCATTGTAAGTTTTTCAGTTCGTTCATGAAGGTTGCCAAGTTCTCCTTCCATCCTGCCTGAAAAAAATATTATTCCCATGGAGATCATTGTAGGTACAATTCTCCCAAGTTAATTTCTAACTTAATGTAAGCTTTTTTTAAAATAAAATGAAGGCAATTATGTTTATGCAAAATAAATAATCAAATTCCTATTAGATTTAAAAATACTAAAAGTATATGGGAAATAAAAAGTATGAATAATTTAAAATGCTTCTCATATATTTTAAAAACATAAATTAAATGAAATAACAACGCATCTCAAAAATTCCATGCACGATTCTAGATTTTTATAATTAGAGGTCAAGCCAAGGTTATCATATACAGTGGCATTCATTAGTCATTCGTAAATAACAGAATTACATAAAACGCTTTAAATATATATCTAAACATCTCCAAAGAAATTTAAAATTTTAAAGACATTTAAATGTGAGTCTGACGGCTCGTTTTGTATATATATTTTCGGACAATTTATCCAGTTTTGCACGCAACATAAGTATTATTTACGTAAATCTTATGTGCAACAATGATGATCGATCACTCGTACTATATTGAATTAATATACATTAAATACTGTTTTATATGTATTTGAAGAATCTAAAATAGATACTTAAAGTATCTAACACAGTGACATAACGTAATCAACTTTGACAATAAAATAGTATATTCAGTCAAATAATGTGACAATGTCAATATTTAATCTTTAAAATATTTATATACTTTTACACTAATATTTTTATACCTTATATTTATACTTTGTACTTTATATCTTTACATTATATTTCTTTGTCAATTTTATATATAACAACTATTTTTTTACGACTCCTTTTATCTTCTTATGTGGAGCATAGGACGTCTATAGGCCTCTTCCTCTTTTGTCCGAGGCCTATATTCGTTTCTCGAATCAGATTGTTTTTCGGATTTGTGGGTGATTGATCCACAGAATCCTACCTCAGTCAGATATTATATACAAATATCTATAACTGATATGTATACTGATGTATACTGATGTATAGGACCTACAGTTTAACGCCGAATCCGAACGGCGCTGATGATCCATAGATCTTTTGATCATCAGGTGGAGCCATTTTTTGGCTCATTAAACGCGAAAAAACGCGTTTGGGCGCACGTGGGATTGAACTCGGGTCTACATATCGCGACCGAGCGGTGAGCCACTCGACGCCACACATAACAACTTTTAGTACGTGTTAATCTAGTGTAACGCAAGTAACTGAAAGTCTATTTTTATAGTTGAACTAGTATATATTTTTAAAACGTATAGTGAAACAGAGATATATGTTTGATTCTTGAATAAATTGAGAAAAAAAGTTGTTTAATATCTAAAATAAAAAAAAACAGACATCAAATTTACTATAAGACTTTATAAAAACAAGAAGGGATGATGCGAGGAGATTCTCGATGTTCACCCACATTTCGTACTTAGTTTGGAGCATAAGAGATTGATTGGAGTAGATAAAAAAAGTAAGTAAAAGAATGAGGTGAATTGTAATTCGGAATAAGAACGAGGATTGAAGGGTAAAGGATAGATTTAAGGCCTTTCTCACTAACTTCTGATTAAATTAATCGACGATTAACTCGCAGAAGTGTCAACTTCTGCAGTTCAATGCATCAAGAACGCCTCCTCTCTCTTCCTCTTTTGAGATAAACTGTGTTTAGTTGGCAATCGTGATTGATTCAGTTAATTATCGATTAGCGTTAATCGGAGTTGGTGAAAGAGGCTCTCGAACAGAGGATGCGGTTCGAATCTCGTCAAAGATTGCCGCGCAAAATTCGCGATGCAGGAGGGCGCCAAAGGCGCCTTTCCTTTTCCCCTTGGGACGACGCTTTCTTTCCCCAGCCATTTGCACCTCGTGACGACGCGCATCTTGCTCGCAGCCGTGTGCACAGGACGGAGAACGAGAAGGCGGGGACGAAAAGGACGAGAGAGGGCCACGCGAGTGACGCAGAGCAGAGACACGTCCGTCCGCTCCTTCATAAATCCCACCCGCGCATTAATTATTCGGCGCCATTAGACGAACCTAACCCAAACTCGGGATGGCTCGAGAGAGAATGACACCTCTGTGTGTCTCTCTCTCTCTCTCTCATCAGGGAACATCCTCGCAAAGATAGGCCAAATTAATGGATGCGAAAACACACGTAGAGACGAAATGCGGGAGATACGAAGGAGATGGAAGTGCGAAGGAGAAGAAAACGACAGGAGGGGAGGGGGGGACGTGCGTGACTGAGCTGAGGATATACCTTGATGTTCTGAGGTGGATCTTCGAAGGTCAGGAGCATGTAACGATCCCCACGGCTCTCCGGCGATCTCTGTCGTACCTGGAAAAGCGATTATTTCACTTATATATATATTTTCTTTCCTGCCTTTTTCTTCTTTCCACGTTTTCACGGGACGGTTTTCGCGTTACCCTCCTCGTCATCGAGAAGGCTAGGTGGCCCGAACGAGAGAGACGGAGAGAACGCGGCAAGGGAAGACGAAAGAGATGGATATACTTCCCTCTTCTTTTTCCCTCGTCCCCTTCCATCCCCCCGTGGCAACCCGTACGGACACGACGACGAGGACGGTGACTCGGCGCTCGGCTCGGTGTGGCGCGGCGCGGCCGCAGCACGGCGTGGCGCGACAGCTAAAAAGCTGCTGGTCCGGGGCGTACCTTGACGAAGGTTTCCACGGCGCTCTTGGCTACGTCCAAGAGCGTGGGTCGCCCACCCAAATAAGCCCTCTGATTCATGGAGGCCGACGTGTCGATCAAAAATACTATTATGGTCATCTTCGGGGGGAGACAGTTATGACGACGACGACGGCGGCGGCGGCGGCGGCGGCGGACAACGGTGGCAACGGCAACAGCGACGGCGACGACGGTAGCAGCGGCAGCGACGACGATGACGACGACGAGGTCCGAGTCGCGCTCGCGCGTCGTAACGTACTCGTGCTCGTTTATTAACTGGCGGGCACCGAGACGCGGCTCCCGTCGTGTTGGCCCGTCGGAACTAGCTAGTTAAGCGCCCTATGACGGCGACGGCGGCGACGACGACAGCGGCGGCGTGGAGCATAGCTGCCACGGCCATTGAACAGCTCTGCGAAGCGAATACGCTCTCCGAAAAACTTGTCTTTTATCGTAACGGCGCTCGCTTGGTCCGTTTCTCTCCCTCTCTCCCTTTCTCGCTCTTTCGTTTGTATGTACGTTTACCGCGGGGTGTGTATGTATGTATGTACGTGCGTGTGTATACCAATGAATATACGTCTGCCTGCGAGAGAGTACGCGACGTCGGAGTATAAGGGCATATTGCACGTATATGTGTGCTTCCACCTCTCCTCCCCGAGCGCCACCGATCGCCGCTCTCTTTCTCTCTAATTACGGTATCTAACCTATCTCCCTCGTGTTTACGCGCTCGCCCCGAAAGTCCGTCTCTCTCGGTCCCGCAGGTCGCGCCCTCTCGGTCGCTCGAGTGTGTACACGTAACGACGTGAAGCGTGCCACGTGATCCCGTCCGATACCCCGCCATTGGTCCCCCACCACTTCGTCGCTGCACTACCTGCAGCTTCGTGTTCGGTCGTGCTGCACCATGCTGCACCTTGGTTACACTCCCGACCCAACGCTCTGTCCTCGTCCCGTTGACGCCGTACCCTCGGCGGCCGTCCGTCGTCCGTCGTCGTCGCGAGAGTGCGGAAAGTGCACGAGAGACCTACTTCTTTTTTTTTTTTTTTTCTTTTTCGATCGACTTGTCGCATCGGGCATCACCGTGTAGCGCGTACACTTTGTAGCGCTTTGGGGAATCGTCCGTTCTATCGCCCCTCGCGCGCGGCTGCTTTTGTCGCGTCTTTGAAACGATTCCGAAAGGACAATCGAACGGTTTCAGGAAACGAACGAACGTGGGGACGGGCATCTCTCTCTCGGTCGTCTTGATAATCCCAACCTACCGGCGACCACCGATATAATAACATATCAAACTACGCTGCGTAGGTGGAAAAACATCCATATTGATTTTACGTTGTATATTAATCCTTTGCGCGTCTAATCAATGTAAAATAACAGCTTAGTAGTACCAGTACCAGTAATTGTGTGGTATAGGTGCCTAACATCCTTTATTGCAAAAGTCCTTTGTTTCAAGTAGCTGTCTCCTAGATACATTAATTTTTTTTCTCAAAACTTTATTTTTTATTAATAATATTGTATTACAGGAATTTTTTTCTAATTAGTACTCCGTGTTTAATATAATACTAATGAACGAGTTTTTATGAAAACTGCCGATGAATTTAGTGTTAAGCAATAGCATATTAACTCGAACAGAACTGCAGTCACAATAATATCAAAATCATAATTGATTAAAAAGTCACTTTTAACAATCAAATTATTGTTATTTTAATATCACTTTAATGTTATGTTGATTTGTACTTATTAGAATTTATGTCAAATATATTAAAAAAGAACATTTTAGAAATTAAAACGTGCAGCTTCTGACAATCACAAACTAGTTTGGAAATGTTTAAGAATGAAGACTAAAAACTTTTCATGTTTATCTTTTATTTTCTTTAAAAATATGATCATCGTAGGAGATAACGATAACAAAGTATGAACGTTTAAAAAGTAGAATATAATTCAATATTTTACACTCGCATATATTCAAAGATCTTATATTTGAGGCTTCCTTACATTCGTCTTCAGATGATTTGTAGCCAATAAAATAATTCGTAGAGTATCTAAAGATAAATTTAAGGAGGCCTTAGGCTTGACTATGAGTATACAGGCATAAGTGATAATCGTAGAGAATTAGTCAAATTATAAAAAATTAAATTATGAAAGATATCGCGTTAAAGCGAAGCTTTATCGCCGGAGAGCGTCTCGAAGTGATCGTGGAACCGCATCGAAGGACCTCAGCGAGAGTGAAGCGGCTTTCAGAGCCACAGAGATGCAACCGATCTCGTCGAGATTCTTATGAATCCCGTAAATTATTCCGGCCGTGAGGCAATCTCCGCACCCGCTTACGCTGAGTATCTCGCTCGTCTTTTCCGTGCCGTCAACGGCGGGGTACAATCGGGACGCGACCGAGGAGTCGGCGATCAGTTTGCCACGCTTGTCGTAGAAGGGCTTGTTTTGCAAAGCTTTTCGGGTCACCTGCGAAATAGAAAGTTAACGAGTACATGCGAAACATCGTCGTCGATTTATATCTACCTCTACCAATGTAAATGAATTTTAATCTCTGTTTACCGTTTATCGTTCTCTATAATAGGGAGTTTTTACAATACCGTTTATCCCTGATACGGTGAACGCTAAAGTCACGTTATCTATTTCTTCACAATTAATTAAGAAAAGGATAGGACTTTAGCGTTCACCGTATCTAAGATAAACGGTATTGCAAAAACTCCTTAATAAGAACAATTTTCAGTTGAAAATGAATGAATTATTCTGTAATATCAGATTTCTAATCGCGATTAGGTATCTTAATTAGAATTACAAGATTCAAATTAGAATTATATAGATTTAAAAAGTAATTATAAAATTCTCATTTATCTACTACAATTTTCTCTCTCCAATTAATGTGCAATCAGATTCCTTTTTCCAGTGTTCTAAAAATTAGGAAAAAACAAAAGAATAAATAAAACCAAGATTAAGTATGATAAATTCAATTACTACGCTGAATTAATAATCATTAAAGGCTATTTTATATGAAGTATATCGAAAATACAATAGCATAATGTAATCTCAATTACTCGCTACAAACTACGTTGAATTAATAGTCATTAAAAGGGCTACTTTATATGAAGTATTTAGAAAATACAATAGTATAATATATAATCAATTATAATTCGCGAAATTGGACCGATGAGAATAAATTAAATTATATAAGAGATTTCCTATTTTCGGTCAAAGCGAACCTTAATGCTTAAGTATTTTGCGGCGTAAATTTATGTACATCCAATTCTGCAAACCACCGCGCTGAAATCTTTTTCAGTCTTGAAACGCAATCGTGAAAGAATTAAATACGTAATATCACAGCAATTTAATAATATCCTAGCTGAGGTAATATTTTTCGCAGTGAATCATTCGCAGTTTTTAAGATTTTTATTAACATCAAATTATATATTCTTATAATATACTTATATTAGCATTAATATTGTTAAATTGCTTGTCAATTTAATATATAATATTATTACTTGATTCTGTTTATAATTGCGTTTCAAGACTGAAAGATTTCGGCGCGCAGAAATGAATGTGCATATAAATAAAAATTTACACGAAAATATTTAAGCACTAAGATCCGTTTTAACCAAAAATAGGGGGTTTCTCTTAACTAAATAATAAAATCAACTAACAATAAAATAATACGTAAATTCTGTTAAATGACGTAACAATATCATCGTTAGGTATTTAATCGCTCAAAATGTTCACATTTAATTTCTATATTTATGTATGTAATTTTACGAATAGCTGCTTTTGATATGTACTGATCTAGTGTAATGCAAGTGACGGAATTTTTGCTATTAATTTTGGTAGAAACAGATTTTAGACAACGAGTTTGAAACGCAAGTAGGATGCGAACCAACACTCCCTGCGCCCCTAAGGTGGTCACGACAACTGGAATGTGCTCGATCAACTGTTCAGCCGCGTTTCTCGTAGCCACCAAGTCCATACTCTCGGAAACGGGGATGTTGAAGTGTTCGCCTATTATTTTCAGCTCGTTCCGATTAGGCGAGACAAAATGCAGTACGTTTTTCCACTGTGGTCCAACTTGGAATATCCTCGTCGCCTTTCTAATATCCGTGGGCTCGTACCAGACTACCGAGAAAAATTATATATTAAAATCATTATTCGTTTCCCACACATTCATTTAAAAAAAAATTTTTTTTTTTTTTATAAATCTTTGTTCAATTCTCAAGAGAAAAGTTAGTTTGTAGAAGCATGTTTTGCGACAAGAAGGAGACAGACAAAAAAAGAAGAGATTCGAAAGGATAAAAAGATTTAACGAGTTAATTTTCCTTTTAATGGACACAAAAAGTTCACCTGCAAAGCAAGGGAGGGAAAGGTCGTCGAAATTCCAGGGGAAGGGGATATTGCGGAACGCGCAACCGGCGCAAACAACGCGCTCTAGCGCTCGCGCGTCGAGCTAAGCTTCCTCCGAGAGGAAGTTGCATACTTCTACGTTCCAGGTGGAATACGACGTTATACGGCGAACGCGAGGAGTTCACGCTTCTTTTTCCACCATTCTTCGTTACGTATTACAGTTCCGAGTGACGCTCGCGAGTGATGGGGAAGACGAGGACGGGCAAGGCCGCCGTCGCGTGTACGGCGGTAGCGTTCGTTCTGGTGGTGATCGCGTTCACCACACCCAATTGGCTGGAGACCGACGGCAAATTGGATAATCCACAATTCGTCAAGATTGGTAAGATTACACGTGATGATTGACTGCACACACGTCTTATTTGTTATTCTATAAATAACTTCTATTAAAACAATACTATTTAAATATTGAACGCGGAAGTTGTTAAGTTTGGTGTCTCCTATGTCCGTTTCTGTCAATGTAAATTAACTTTATTCTCAGTTCAGCTGACTCTTTATCTTTTACTAATTCTTAGGCCCAGTTTCATAACTCACGGTTAATTTAACCTCTAATCTCTTTCTGATTCTAGAATTAGAAGTTAAACCTCGGTTAAGAGTTAACCATGTAAAACTGGAACAAAAAGAAATGAAGTTATTTGAACTGAGATTAAATTTAAATTACATTGGTAGAAATGGACATTAGCAAACTACTCGACTTAATGCACACTGATGCATATTAGATTCTATATCAAAGTCTGGCTACATGAGATTTTGTCAAAATTTCATAAGATACAATATATAATTTCTCCCTGTGTAATGCAAGTGACTAAATTCACTATTAATTGATAGAAATTAATATTAGATATATATATATACTATCTCGATCAGTCAAAGAACGTATAAAAGTTAACAAAAAGTCAGAATGATTCTATTTTGATTCTTAACATCAATAAACAGTCAAATTTTATAACTAAAAGTCATTATTTTAACTTTTGTGACATCAAAATAAAAAAATTTTGATTTTTTCTTAACTTGGTGTGTTTGTTGAGAACTCATACTATCCTACTCTATAATCTTAATTAAAGTTATAGATTGAAATAATAGAAATTAGAAGAAATAATGTGTATGTATATATAAATATATAAGAAAAAATAATACGTATCTCTTTCTCTCGTAGGACTTTGACAAAATAGCTAGACTCTGTTATAAAGTGCATATTAACTAAAACCGTCGTATACAAAATGATGTAAAGCTGTGGATTCAATGTAAATATAAAATACATTTCATTGTGTTGTTAAGTAAACTATGTATTTTATAATTCAGAATACTTAAATTTTACTTTTATACTCAGATTAAATCAGTGTACAATAGCTTTAACATGCCCACTAATATGTCCAACCAAATTTGTTATCTGTTACAAGATGTTATTTTGAATATAGACACTATAATAGGATTGGTTGTCAGTAAATGATTTTATTTATTCTGTTTCCCATCACAGAATTTTTTTTTAAGCGAAGTGATAGTTTATTTGAAAAACTAAATTGTACTCCTTTCTACTGTGTCCAATTAATAATTCATCTAATAATATGATTATATAAGCATGAGACGTTTAGCTGATAGCGACAAAGCGATTGAGAAACAGTACTGTTTGCAGGTCTCTGGCAGGTGTGTTTCCAAGGATTCCAGGATCCGCGTCACCTCTACGATACCAGATTCTATGGATGTTGGTGGGTGTTTGAGGAGGAGTATTACATCATACACGACATACTTCTGCCCGATTTCTTCGTCGCCACGCAGTTCTTCTTCACGCTGTGCTTCACCTTGTTGCTGATAGGAAGTTTCCTGACTATTTTATATACTTGTTGCTCGCGTCATCATGACAAGTATCAGCTGCTCCTGTGGGCAACCGGTGGCAATTTAACTTTGGCAGGAATATGTGGTGTCATATCGGTGATTATATTCGGCGCCAGGGGCGATGGACGAGATTGGATGCCCAATTGGGAACACAATGATATCAGTTGGTCCTTCGCCTTAGCTGTCGTTGGCAGTTTTGTCCTGATAGCCGCTGGTGTCCTATACTTGATCGAAGGACGTAGACACAAGAAGAAACAGGAGCGAATATTGAACGAGGAACAAAAAACGCATACAACCATTTAGCATATTTTCATATCGTAATCGAATAAATATTCGCGATCTATCAAATGATCGCGTAAGCGCAAATTTTATCCACTGAACATGTATCATGGATAAAAATATTGAAGACTAATAATTTTATATTAATTGTTACGCATCTTTACTCATCGTAACGTAGGGTCTGTCGATATATTATCTATAAGATATATACATATTTTAAATATATAGAGACTAGGAGTCGTTGACTTTCGTTGACAAACATTTAAATTATATAAAACATTTTCTATAAAAAAAATGCACGACTAGATGTCGTTAATACTACATTAAATGTGTAACGCACATATCTGAACTAATCCGTCCATTTATCTGTATTGTTTTTTAAAAAATTTTGTAGGCATTAATTATATATTTGTACATAAGTTCTATATAGATATATATTGATGTTGCGAGAGATTAATCTCCCACTTGTATATCGTATATGAATTAATAAAATAATTTTTCCTAAGCTACCGTGTTTTTACTTCCACCAAAAGAGAACAAGAAAGTTAAAATAATGTCAATTTGACGGTATGTTAATGGATTATTGAATTTGACTTTCTTTCATGATTCGATCAATATGACATTATTTTGACTCTCTTGTTCTCCTCGGGTGGATATTCAGATTTGCATGTCACAATTTTCGAATGTAAATTAAATCAGTTAAATGTACCTCTGCACACAGTGACCCACTTTGTTCTCGCAAATTCATCGTAAATGTTCGAGACGCGGATCTTTCGCGTGCACGCGATAACGCGAAGGAAAGTGTTCGCCGTTTGACCTAATTTAGATTCTATTCTAATCGACCGCGCTGAATCTTCCGCAGTTATGTCAGTTGCGGCCGACATAATGCGTCATCTTGTGGATCGCGCGTCAAGATCTCTTCGAGGTGACACATTCGCGTCTTGCAGAGGAATTCCATTCAGCGATGACTCGCGTCGCGCAACTATGGCATAATTTTCGTGATTCAGTTACAGGATGTTCATACATTATAATCTCTACGAATATAACATACGTCTTTTTTTTCCTTTTTTTAAAGAAAATTTGTTTAAAAAATGGTATAAATGAGTTGTGTGTGAGAAGAGCGGAAGTCACGTAAAAGAAAAGAAAGCGTTCTTCCTCTCGACGAGAAATTATTTACGCCCATTTTAGACGATTTCCAATTCTTGTCAGACATTTCAAGACAAAAAGTGTTGCGTTTTATATTTTTTTTTATTTTAGTGCTTATTTTGCGAATCAAAAATTTTTGTAAGCAAAAAAGAAAAACATAGAAGTTCGTGATGTGATTGCGTTAAAAAAAAAATGTGTTTTCTCATTTTTCAATTACTTTTCATTATTGAAAATATAAAATTATAAACAGAAAATTGTAGATCCTGGATGAGGTATATATTTTTCGCTTTCTGTAATAAAATTACAGATTTTAATAAGGCGCTTATCTCAGCATCAGATAATTATAAGATCTTTCCAAGATGTCTATGAGCATATTATTTTAGTAATAAATTGCTTGCCAATTTAACTTGTGATATTCCTACTCTTGCGTTTTAGACTGAAAATTAAATTCAATGCGCAGTTTACAATTAAGATTACGTATAAATGTATAAATTCACATCGAATTATTTAAACACTAAAGATGATTAATAAATCCACTTTGACTGTTCAGGGCCTTTATTTTCTATTTGTGTAAACAGAACGTTATTCTGAAATCATCGCGACGATTTATCGATTGTCTGAAGCGCACTTTAAGCTTAGAAACGCACTTATTCGCGGTCTGCTTACGTCCTGCAGGATCAAGGTCGGAATGCGATCATGAGAAGAGAAACGATATGCATAAATAAGACGTGACACGCGCTGACACATATTATGCACCTTGATGGCTGCAGGGACGACGAGAGAAGCGGCAGGATCACCGCGAATTTCCAAAAAAATCTCAAAAACCTTATTTTCTTTACCAGGAAACAAATGCTTTTCTCCTTTTCTTCAAATGTACGCCAAACAAATTTCAAATATCAATTTATTATTAATTTCTTTACTGGCTTCATATTATCGTAATATTTATGGAAAATGGTTACGTTTTTTCCTTTTATCTTCAGAACTTTTTTTTTTTTTTCCTTATGTAACTCCGACTTAGTAAGCGTCCAGTCCCACCGATGTAATTAAGATCAACTTTAATCTCGGTTCTAATTTACTTGATCTTTTTCTTAAAATTAGAAAAAGATAAAGAGCGGAGTTGAGAACCAAGATTTTAAAGTTTTAATTTACGTTTGGTGGAAAAATAGACATAAAGCAGGTCAGAGCAGGTCATAAATACTATTATTCAATTTGGATCAAAGATTTAAGCAGATTATCTCGCATTTTCGGGGATAAAGGAAGCACCGTTCTTTTTCTCTCCTAGGATATTTTGTCGGAACCTGAGCCCTCCCAGTGGACGGTCCTGCATAGATTCGTTACGTTTAACGCTCCGCTCGTGGGATACCTACTCGCGCGTGAGGCTGTTTGCGAGGTGAAACGCGGGTTAGGTTAGGTTAGTTTAGAACACGGCCGTCCGCTCCGCCAATAACGCGGGTCGCTTGGGTGTGGTTATTAGTGCCGTGGGACCGTCAGGTAGAATTGTGTTTCATGAGAGTATAGTTTACGCTGCGCGTCCAAGCGGACGTCTCTCTCTCACGCGATCGTCTCGACAACACGCGCGGCGATATGAAGAAGAGGAGTCTGTCCGGCAACATCGGCGTCGGCGTGTTCCTGGTAGGGTTCATCTGTGTGTGCGTCGCCTTCGGCACGCCCTCCTGGTTAGTCAGCGACCCGCGGATCGTCGGAGCGCAGCTCGACCGACTCGGCCTGTGGCGGCACTGCTTCAGGTCGCTGCCCAATCCCCAGGAGTCCGACGCGCCCAGGCGGTTCTTCGTCGGCTGCAGATGGGTCTACGACCCGTTTACCGCGGGTTACTCCGAGATCCGCGGCTTTTTACTGCCCCGTAAGTAGTCGTGTAACAATGTCAGACTGATCCGAAGGGAAACTGTTTTCACGTTTCTACCAATAAATAATTTTAATTCAACTTGTCCTTCAGCTTTTTCTGATTCTTAGAACTAGAAAAAGATGAAGAGTTAATTGAATCGAGATTACAATTTAAAGATTACATTAGCAGAAATGAATCCTTAACATCAACAGTGAATCTTTCTTCTTGAGGAAAGATTTGTTATTGTTAGTAGATTACCTTGGATTATCGTTGAAATGCATTGATAATACAATGACAATATTTGTTGATAATATTATTGGGAGGAGCTTTCCAGTTAGAGAAATATATATCGACACAGAAAGTTTCTGTTCAATGTTCAGTGAGTGACAGAGACAATGATGAGAGAATGACTCCTGACTCGATATGTATCCCTTGCTGAAAAGCTCTTAGTAATAATAGATTAAGAATTTATTTTTACCATTTGTTTAACATGATACTTTTTTATTACAGCTTTCATGATAGCCACGCAAGTGTTCTTCACAATATGCTTTCTACTGGGTCTGGTATCGTTCTTTCTGATATTACTCTTCACTCTGTGCTGCGACCCAGAGCGAAAGAGATACATCGAGCTGATAACTACCATCGGTTACTTGCTGCTGGGCAGCGGTATCAGCGGTGGCATAGCAGTCATCGTGTTTGCCTGCCTTGGTAACGCCGACGGTTGGATGCCTGGACACGCCAACAATTATTTAGGATGGTCTTTCGCTCTAGCCGTCATAGGCAGCGTATTCATGCTGATCGCCAGTGGTTTATTGATTGTAGAGGCAAACGTACAACGAAAAAAACGAGACTATCTAAAGGAATCTCAAATGCGTTTTCAACTCGAATCTCGCGCCTAAAATGACTTTACTTCCCGATTTGTTCGCAAGAATTGCGCACAAACGTCTGTATTAAAAGTCTGTAGTACTATTCCGTCCATAAAGGTGCAACGTTTCATTTTAGAACTTTTCTCTTTCTGTAGAATGTACAAAAAAAAAAACAGATCTGTATTAATTTAAGTTTAGAAAATACGTAAGTTTAATATTTTTGTACGATATTTTATATCTCTCTTTACAAAATATTACATACATTAGATCATAGTATTGTATGATAATATCGTTATTAATGACATGAGACGATACACGCGTCTTAAAACAATTGCAGAAAAATTCATTAAAAAATGGTATAAAAAGGGTTCACGATTTTTTTATTCTAAACGATTGTGCCTTTTTAATATGAAGATTTAAAGCTTGATAAAATCGTGAGCTACAGTGAGGAAATGTCGTCCATTCATGAATTGTGTGCATAGTTACATATAATATTTTTATTTTTTTATCCAAAAGATGCATTTAATTAAGATGCAGCGCCATTCTTTAAAACTCCTCTCATTTTTTGAACATATTATTGTATTACAATTTTAACTTGTTGATTTGTGATCATTTTTATTACTAATATAGTTTTCCACGAACTTTTCTGTGTAGCGTTTTGAGACGCAAATTATGCAATGCTTTTGTAGATTGTACGTACGTAAAATATATATGTATATTATATTAAATTTTATGCACGAGATTATATTTGCACGGTGCAGCTACGCATTTTCCAATACATATCAATGGATGTTTAAGCTGGTTTAACCTAACGAGATTAATGAAATCAAAGCAAATTTTGTAATTCCATCCTTTACCAAATAAACCTTCTAATACAAGATATCTTTATTTTTGCAGCCTATCAATCTCATTTTAAACAAATTCATACATCTAAAATTTGAATAAATTACATCTTTCGTTAGATAAGATTGTAAATTTGAAATATATAACAAAGTAATAAAAAACTAGTTGAAAAACTGAAACAATTTTTTCTCAATGAAGAAATCATTAAGCATTTTTACTAATCTTGTAGTAAGAAGTCATTAGTAAATATTCCAATCAGCATCATTCTTTATATTTATGATGTATATAAAAATAATGTACCGTAAAAAGTGTAAGGACGGAATCAGACTACGCATTGAAGATTGAGATTGAAACTTAACTCAATGCGTAGTTTGATTCCAGTCTAAGAACACACATTCGAAGGACAGCCTACTTTATCAATAAACGGGAAAGTTCCGTCTGTTGGTAAATAATATTAGCGTCTTTCCGTTGGTAGAACTGCTATGTAGTAATGATGCGGGTTCACTGGGTGTGGCGAGGGTGAGGTGCGGTGACGAACGAAGACACAATTGTAAACGAAAGAATTATATACAGGTCAGTTAGTTTTACGTTGGCCTTTCTAAAAGGTCATCATGACGGTGGACAAGCAAGAGTATCACAGAGCGTCCAGTGAGTAATCGATTAGGTCAATCAGCAGAGCGATTACCTGGAATAACCTGTACACCTGTACTAATTGGCCTTCGTTTTTATTGACAGACGCGGTCGTTTTTGGTGGAGGACTCTCGTTCGTGGCGCTCTTTCTCCTAATGATGGCCTTCATAAGGTAAACATCTCCAAGCAACTGTTATAAGTGACAATCTTAAATTGACTTGAAAAATGAAAATATGAAAACAATTTCACTGATCGTCTGCGTAATTTCTAGTCCGTATTGGATAGAATCGTATCAGGAGACGTTCAGCAACTTTAAGCACATGGGACTCTGGGAGTATTGCTTCGAGCAATTTCGCTATCCTCAGTATCAGTTTGACAAACAATTCGACGGCTGCCACCATATATTTTCACAAGAATATTACGTCATAAGAGAGTGGCTGCTGCCAGTATGGCTCATGGTAGTACAGACGTTCGTCACATTGGCCTTAATGCTGTCCATCTTTGCCTTCATTGTAATTGCCTTGATCTGGACACGTTGGCCGTTAAGATTCGTCCTGCATTACGAATGGATTCTGTCGTCCTTCGTATTTGTATGCGATGCAGTTGCTGGTAAGTGTAAGAGCCTTTAAAGTTAAAGATAAAAGATGCCAAAAGTTCCTTAATCCGAATATTTTTTTTTTAAATTTTAGGCTTGTTTCTCTTTCTGGCAGTCTCTATATTCGGCGGACAATGCTGGCGCCGGGATTGGTTATTGTATCCGAATTTTAATCACTTGTCGTGGTCATATGGCCTTGCTGTCATATCATTCATGATCCATACGTTTGCCGCGTTCTTTATGTATTTAGACGCGCGGACAGGTTACAGATTACGCAAAGAGTCTCGTAACTTGGTGATGCAGATGCAGCCGAATCCACAATCTCAACACGGCCCGCCAAGCCGAAGCGGATATGTATAAAGTAATCTCGAGTCGTGTGCTTTTGGCGAAAAATTTAATTTCCGCGTAAAGTTCTTTTATTTTTAACGAACACGCAAAAAATAAGATCTGTTTCTTAAGAAAGACTGTACACTATCTGTGTACGATTTTCATCCGTCCATTTATATTTATTCATAAAAAATGGAAAACAGTAACAGCTTTATATATATAAGCTCTTACCGTTATTTTTAATGAATAGCTCCGTGTGAGAGTAGTCGACCATATAGTTAGCAGGTCCCGACTCTCATCCCGTGTATGTACCTCCGTTTTAAGAGGTTGATTTTGAAAGTTAAAAGTTATAAGCAAAAAGATATAAGGTGATCTGTTTCGAGAATCTATATATTATATTTCATTTGTATTTAATTTAATCGTTAAAAAGGACAAACACATATGTGTTAGATTGTCGCCTTCTCTCGAACTAATTATTATAACTTACATTCGATTTTCTTTAAACTAATTCGCTTAAGCGTGAATAATATCCGTCCGTTGTTATACTCACGCGCACGCATTTTTTTAATCTTTATATATGTATTTTTTATACATTCTATATAGAATACGTATAATATAATAGAATTATATTATTTGACTTACAAGTGTATAGGAAATTAATAAACGAGGAATTATTCTTTTTCGTGAATGAAACGACAGTAAATTATTGTAAGAGCTTTTTTACTCACCTGGAATATTCACTTGCGACGCAACGTCGAGCACGTAGCGCATGGTGTCCAATTCGAGATTTGCATCGAGGACGATGAAGCTTGCTTCTTCGAGATGCGATTGATACTCCTTTATCAACTTTGGGGTTATCGCGGCGAAGGATTCCATTTCGCTAACGCAGAAGTGACATTCTCCATTAACGTCCATTACCACTGTTATCCTGTAACATTAGCAATGTATAATTTGTCAAATATGCATCTGCTGATAATTAATTTATCGACTATCCTATATTAAATTCGGATATCCGAACAATTCGAATCTTCATATCTAAAGAAACGAATTTATTGGAATCTGAATTTATTAATTTGGATTCCTAAGAAGTACAGTAAATTAATGGCTAATTAGACAAGTGGAAAACAATATTCTCATTTCTTTCCTGGTCATCTTAGTTGGTTCTGAAAGTGTCTTTCATAGCCAAAGATATCGTTGCAATCAAAAGAAGCTATCTATTATTTAAGTGCGTCACATTTAAAAATTGAAATAATAATTAGATAATAATTATTTCGGCTAATATGGATATATTGTACTGCCCAGATATCTATAGTCTTGTACATTATTCGGCGGGGCTATCAGACAAGTTCCTCGCCGTCGAATACTCGTCAACGAAGCAAGATTGCGACTCGTACCTCGCGGTGTCCACGTCCGACATACATTTCACTATTTCGCCTCCGGCTCCTAAGCTCTCAAGAATGATCTTCCCATACTCATCGTCGCCAATGATGGACATCAACCGCGTATTCTCCAGACCGAGCTGGAGCAGCGCGTCGGCGATGTTTCGACCAACTCCGCCGCAGCTTCGTCTACTTCGCCCGATGTGCGTTCTCCCGTCATTCTAGAAATGAATTGCTCACTTCAGGATTATTCGGACTCTACATGAATTCTGTTGGACGATCAATAGTTTTCTCATGTGGAGATTGTATATTCCGGAGAGGAAAAGGAGAAAGAGAAATGCAAAGATTAAAACCATAAAAGTCATCTTAAAAGAGAGAACTTTTATGATTTTAATAAAGAAGAGAATGTTTTAAGACGAGAGCGTGTTGTATAGAAAGAGCGAAGCCACACACTTGAAGAAAGTTAGCCGTCGGGACTAAGAGGAGTGCTTACTTTGGGCATATCTGTTTTTCTCTCCAGCTTGTAAAGATTTAATTAAACGCGAAGCATTCGCTCCAGGGTCGCACAGCTGAGAGCGAGTGCTCGGGGGAAGCATACGAAGTCCCATCCCTGTGATACTCAAGTTGGCATATAGCGTTTACCCTTTTCGACCTCTTCTCCCCGTTCCTATATCTTGGTGTACAGTATAGCTCTGATGCCTACGTATCTATACTTTCTTTCTCTCTCTCTATCTCTCCCTCTCTTTCGCACTTCTACAACATCCGGTGGTAACATATGGTTGGACATTTTTATCTCTCCACCTCTTCCTTCCACCTCGGCTCTATTTCTACGTATCAACGCTGTGCTTGGGGAGGCGCGCACCCTCCTACGTGAGTGAGACCTTATCGGTCAGACCTCTATTACCCGTGACGACAGTGCTACGTTTCAGTCTCATGAAACAAGACCAGTCTCGTCTACCCCTTTGTAGCATAAAATAGTGATATTGGAATACGGATTTACGTCTCTCTGTGACGGCTCGGTTAGCGGTTACTGAATCAAAAGCGTAGATCGTAGCGGAGCCCACTTCGCCCACCTCCGATCATCCGCCCTTGCACGCTCCCTTTTCGCGTGTCTTCCCTCTATCTATCAGTTTGCCTTGTGACGGTGGTAGCGGAGTCTCTTCAATCCTCGCGCCAGTCTGGTTGCCTATCTCGGGCGCTGTTCATGGTGGCGAACACCCCCGCGGTCCACGTACCCCTGGACGTCGCGTGTTCTCTATGCCGACAGAGTATAGAGGAAGCGAGAGAAACCGCAAGATAGACAAGGGATAGATAGGTATAAAGAGAGCCGCGCGCGTGTCCGCCTGGAATATCTATCCATATCCCATGCGTCAGGCGCGCGGGGTGAGAAGCATCGGGCGTTGTAGCCGCGGCGTCGCGACGACGACGACGACGACGACGACGACGCTTGGTCGCGCGCACGAGCTCTCGACTCTGCGTGATCAGTGGCAGTGAGAGGCAGCGCGTCGCGTCGCGTCGCGCCGCTCCACGAAGGCGTCGTGCGAGCGACATGCGCTACGGCTGGCGGCGGCCTTGTCAAGTGTCGACTGTGACCAGGAGGACGGGGACGAGGCTGAGGCCGAGGCCGAGGACGAGAACGAGAACGTCAACGGTGACGAGGAGCAGGACAACGAAAACGGGAGTAACGCCGGTAACGAAGAAGCCGAGAACAAAAGCGACGACGTGGAGGTGCTGGTGGTGAGAGAGGTGTCACAGAATACAGAGCGCATAAAGAGGTAAACGCGACCGTTCATTGGCATGAACGACGACGTCGTGGACGACGTTGCCGAGGCGGACTCTCGCGGCGATGCCCGTGAAGGAAGCGCTACGGGCACCACGACGACGACGAAGACGACGACGACCGCGTTCCTCGCGCACATCCCGACCGTCGTATTGTCGGCCCGACCGACGACACCCGGCCGCAGCGATTTCGCAGCGGTTTCGACAAACAAGATCGCGCCTCCGCAATCCGCGCGCACGTAAGCTGCTTTAATCGTGACACCGAGAGATTTGCGTCGTAGAAAGCGCGATCCCCCGAAGTGATCACCAGTGACGAGCCGCTCGCGTGGCGTTTCTCGTCGAACCTCTCGAGGAAGAATTCTCTAAGATTTCTCTACTCCTCGAGTGTTATTTCATTTCCGTGCAAAGTAGTCGCAGACGAAGAGGAGCAATCGGCTCATCGAAAGGCCGGATCGCTTTCCTCGAAAGGAAAGATTTTTTCTCTCCCCCGAGCATCTTCCCTGAAGAAAAGGTCTCTTCCTGAAGGACACAAGAATTACAAGAGAAGGACCGAGACCTTTATTCGAGCAAGAGAAAGCACGCTCCTTGAGATCGCGCGGGTGCCTTTCCTCTGAAGAAGTCCTATACGGAAAGGTATATCTATATAGTGGATTGAATAAGCCGGGTCAACGCGAACGGTGTCATTCTTTTACGAAATATAGCAATTGTGCTCCCCTCCTCGAGCCTTCGTCGAAGAGAACCCGCGTTCGCGCAATCGGTATCGAAAAAGAAATCTTGAGATTTGAAAGCAATTTGAAAAGCATGCTCGAGCACTCGAGGGTGCCACGCGTCACATCTCGACCGAGACGAACGCCAGGCACGATTTGGCTTGCTGATCGTGCGGTCGGTAGAGGAGCCAGTGAAGAAGAGTTCGCGTGACACACGGCGTGTGGCCAGCCGGGGCATTCCCTGTTTTGCATGCGGTGAAAATATAGGACGAAGCGTATAGCGAGTAATGATAAATTCCGTCGGGAAGGTCGGGAGGAAGATTGCATAACACCACGTTCCCTCCCTATACATCCACTGCCACCCTCTTGCTCCTCTTCTCCTGCGCGCGCGCGCGCGCGCGCATTTCCCCCGTCGTCCTTTTTCTCTCTCTCTCTGGCTTTTCGCGCCTCTATTGCTCAGAGAGAGAATGTCTCACCTCGTATCAATATCTAATTAAAGGCCGTCCGATGGTCTTTTTTTATCACGTCTGTCCTCGCTCGGTTAAGACGTGTGCAGTAGCTCCTCGACCCCCTTGTCCCTCGCTCCGGCATCCGGTATTGGGAAAGGATTGCACATTGCACGCGACATCGATCCGCGCACGCTTCTCCTCTCCCTCTCTCTTTCGCTCTCCTTTTCTTTTTTTTTTTTTCCTTTCGCGGGATTATGTAAAGCAGGCAGTACTGGACGCCGGCCAGGACATTGACTGCTCGTCTTCGTGACGTTGGGAATTGTTTCTCTGCTAAGACGAAAAGAGGTAACCGCGCGCTGTCTCTCTCTCTCTCTCTCTCTCTCTCTCGTACACGTTCCTCGTTCCTCGTTGTGTGTCAATGTGGAGCGCGCGCTAACGCGCAGGGTTTAAACGATCGATGGGCCCTTACCGTTCTCTCGCTCTCTTCCGTGTTTTCATTACAATGCGCCACTCGCATATACTCGTGGCGGCCCGACCGCATGCATGCATGCAATGCGAATGCCGATGCACGGGAAACGGGAGCACGCTTTGGCGCATCGCCCTGGTCGGGCCGAGCTGCATGTCCGTGTTCACGACCCTGACAATCTCGGGACGATCCGTGGTGTATGCCCATGTGTACGGAGAATCGTTTACCGAGATTTCGCATGTAGATTTAGCGAAAGTAGCGATTTTTCTCCACTCTAAATTCTTCGAAATGGAATATCTCGCTCTAAAGAGTGAATTCGCTCACTGTTTCAAAAGTGATCATTCTGCCAATCTCGAAGAAAAAGAAAGATCTCACTCTTTAAAGTGAAAATTCTATGTTATTAAAACTCTCGAATTCTTTAAAGTGGAAACTCACTATGAAACGATGAAAATTCTGCTCTACTCTTTAGAGTGAAATTCCACTCCCAAGAATTTTCACAGAGCTTTTCTTTCTTTTTTTTTTTTTTTACATTTTGTTTCCTACTTAACATACTATCCCACTGGTACCTCATCCCCTTTATTCAGCCCTGTTTCCGTGCGATTGTGTATGTGCCTCTTCGCAATTCGTCAGATAGGGTTGTCTCTGCGGTTCTTCCGAAGGCTCGCCGGGCCGGCGACGCTTCGTGCCGATATACTCACTCAGGCGCATATCCTCTCTCTATCCCGCACGATTTATCTCTCTGTCCCTCCTCGGAGAAGCTACATAGAACTAGGCGGCGGAGGATCGATAAATAGAATCGCCTATCGCACGCTACAACTGTCAGAAAGAAATACAATCCGCCGAGGTGCACGCTAGCCTCCTCCCGCTCTGTTGGCTTCAACTTGGAAACGCACGCACGTTGAATTCCGTTGAATTCCCACGCCCTCCATCCGCGCGTCCCCGTTTAGATTGAGTCATCCGTGGATAAAGAGAGAGAGAGAATTTCAAATTGCGCGGCACGATGAACAAGCGGAAGAAGATTCAAGATCAAAGGTCAAATCGAAAAGTTTCGAGTTCTAAAAATTTTCAAAATGTTCGACTAAACAGGAAATGTGTATCCGTTAGAAATATATGTCTCTAATATATGTTTTTCACGTATTACATATTTCTTTGTCTGCACAGGAGAATCGTTTATCGTTCCGGTTGCTGGAACACCAAAGACCGCTATTGCGGTGAACGACGGCAGGTGCGCGTGACACGAGGGGGACAACCATGAACGTTACCACGAACGACCTTCCGGTGCGGCGATGCAACACGACGACTCGGTGGCTCGCGTGACTCGCGCCGATCACGAGTAAAGAGGATCGGTCTCCACTTCCGCCACCGACACCCCCTCGCGTAAGTACCGCGACGGCGGCGACCACCACCAACGGTGCAACGCGCTGGCCCGTCTCTCCTATTCAGCCCCCCGCGTCCGCGGGACACAATCCTTACGACGAGGACACGCACACCAGGGTGGCACGATAGTATGACGGTGATGCTGCTGCAACGTTCAGTCACCCCGCAGTCGACGCACAGCCAAAAGACAGCGACGAAGGACTGTAGCGCGAAGCCGCCCTTTCTCTTTCTGCTGGACGACCGTGAGGAGCATCGGCACTCGACCGATACCAACACCACGACTACCACAAATAACAATAACAACAACAATAATAATAACAACAACAACAACAATAACGTCAACAATAACAACGTCTTCAAAAGGGGCGACCAGAGGAGCAACAGCCGCGATCACGTCGCCGACGAGGCGCCGTCGTCGGTGACGTCCCAACGACTCGCCGACGGTGGTGAGGACGTCGCGATGCGATATTACCGCCTCTGGATCTACGCCTGTAACCTGGTGCTGTTCGGTAGCGCGATCGGCTTCGCCGCCGCGGTGTCGCAGACTCTCCTGTTCACCGGCGACCCACGTCGTCACGTGGTGCCGGGTGTACCTCGCGTCTACGACCCCACCGCGCTCTACGGCTATCTGGCACTGACGGCGCAGTTGGGCCTGGTGCAATTACTCGGTTGCATCGCTGCCAGGCGGCTCAGCGCCCGATTGCTTCACATCTACTGGATATTACTGCTGATACTGCTGTTCGGCGACGCCGTGGTCGGCGTCGCTTGGATCTTCCGCTTCGAGAAAATGCGCGCCGACCTCAGACCCACGCTCAAGCTACGTTTGCAGGTGCGCTATAGATTCGATTGGCTCGCAGTAGGACTTCAGTATCCCGATTCTCTGTAACTTCAATACGGTATCGACGTCCTACTGTTGTTGCCGACGTTGGCTTTTTTACTATGTGTAATGTCTGTGCAAGAACAATATAACGGTATCGATACTGTCATTAAGAGCATAGAGAGTCGGAGTACTAACCCGTTTGTTGGCCATTACGTCATAAGCGGAAAAAGACTTCTAAGCTTTTTCCCTCGCCCTGTGTGTATCGAAATAGATTAATTTCTTGCACGTTAACGATCGTATTCCATAGATCCAGGAAATGTGTCAAAAAAGTTTCTTCGGTTCGTCGACTAGGGAGTAGCTATTTATAAATTGACTCGTATTGTCATTTACTACAAGTAAGGGGTTTTCACCCTTATAGTGATGACGTAGAAATCGATTTGTGCCGAGTTATAACGGGAATAAGAATTCATACAACTTTTTGCTTCTTTGACCAAGATCAACTCTAGGATTCTGTAACTTTTAATAACAGTCCTCGGCGGTATCGTTATATTATCGTTGTGTAACTTTTTTTCTCGTGTATAATGTCTGCACTACGATAATGAAATACGCTGAAAGTTAAAGAATTCCAATGTCGAAGCCTCAGATTTCCACATTTCCGATAGATTACATAACACTAGAACTACGGGTCTAAATCAATCTAATCTCGGTTCAAGATAAATCTGGATCTTCACGAGAAAGAGTTGTCATCATAAAAGTAAAACTACTTGTAATCAATTATGATTATTTATGATGAATCTATAAAGTTCCACGTACAAATCTAAATTAACACTGGAAAAGAAAGAACTATCAGATGGATCGAACGGTACAGCTGCGGTTCTAATGTTAACATAACACACCGTACTACGCCTCGAGGTGACGATCTTTTGCCCGCAGGTGGACTACGACAAGGAGATGCGATTCAGCGAACATTGGGACCGACTTCAGCGGGAGTTCATGTGCTGCGGGGTGACCGGACCCAAGGATTTCAATCATCGCGTCAACTTGCCACTGACCTGCTGCGAGCCTAGCGTTAACGTCAGCGAGCCTTGTCAGAATCCGTATATGCGCGGCTGCGAGGAAACGCTCGTACGCTGGCTCAGGAAGACGGCGGATCTACTGTTCGTCCTGGGCTTCTGCGTCATCGCCTTTGCCAAGCTTTGCTTTCTCGGCATCCTACGCTACGAGATACGGGAGATGATACAAAAAATACGAATGCTGAGGGAGCCGCCGCCGCCGGCCACGCCGTTCGCGCAACCGCCCTTTTCCCAAGTGCTGCCGGAAACAGCCAACAACGGCAGCATAGTGAGACGCACAACGTTACCTAACACTGTTATGCCTTCCGGTATGTTTCAGTTTGAAGTAATTCCCGTTTGTGAAAACAATGTCGATGACCTGAATCAATTAACGCCGTAACACTACTCAGATTTTAGTTCCTAATCATTAGTATTGTTAGAAAGGAGTATTTCTGATTATAACATAAATCAATAATTTGAATAATAAAGAACTACTTCAACATGATGTATGTATTAATCAACCAGTTTATTTGAGTATCAACGGTAGTATTTATTATAAAATAGAGAAGCTTAATAACCATCTGAATCGAGACACCTAATAAGAAAGGACAGTTTTGTTTAAGTATCTATTTTAGATACAGATCTGAAAATAAATTTATTGGATTGTCAAAATAATCTCAAGCAGAAATTCCATAAAAAGTAAGTTTTAATGTTCTAACGACTATAGTTTAAGCGTCCTACATAATTATTTTGATGGTCCGACAAAATTATTTTCAGATCTGTAGATAAATTTTTAAATATTTCAACAAAATCGTTTTTTCCCTGAAAAGAATTCAATTTTTTAAAGGAAAAAAAAAGGAACTATCCATTATCGTCTGATCGATTTTCAGGCAACGCGTCGGTGTTGCTGCAGTCGGACGAATGCAACACCGGCCGGCATCCTTTGTTGGCGAACAATCTGCAGGACGGTGGTGCTGACAGCGATACAAATAGCCACTGCGCACTGATACTCGAGGAGACGACACCTACCTCGACGAACAACCATAATTGCGCGGCCGGCGGCGGCCGTGAGAAGAGCAACGGTAACAACAACTACGAGATGCGTGAGTTCAACCGCAGGCTGTTGCTGTCGAATGGTACCAGCCCAGGCACAGGCGTGACCGTAACGAGCGGTCAGAACAGGCGCACCTGACTATGGAGATGGTGGCGAAGCACCCAGAACCGTTTCCTGTACAGGAGCAATCGGCGGCGCGCCGACATACCGCTATACAAGTAAAAGTACGACAAACCGTTTGTCATAACTTCATAAGTTTTTCAGTTTCTTTTTTAAGAAAAAAAAAAACATACATCTAGCGAGCTACTGGCTGGCGCGAGTCCAACGGTACGATCTGATTATATGTAAGGAAAACGTCGCCGCCGCCGCCGTCAGCGTCGATGTCGTCGTATCGACGAAATCGGTGAAAGTGAGGGAGGTTGACAATTGCTGCGTAGCTCGTCTCCTATAGTCATCCCTACTTCTCGAGGTCTTATCGCCGATAGTGCGCACTTAAGACGTCACAGAGGAAAAACTGCGGCGACGGATGACGTTTACAGCGACATGAGAGACCAAGCATTCACGAATCGATATCACGGTGGGACTTTACAATTATTAATGAAAGAACCAAATCAAAACATATATAATAGTGCGAGAGAGAGAGAGAGAGAGAGAGAAAGAGAGAGAGATAGAGAGAGAGAGAGAGAGCTATCTCCGTTTTGTAAGGCAAAATTCGCGAAGGGGCGTTTAAATTCGCGAAGATCGCGACGCGAGGGTGAAACCCCCATAATCATCTTACGCGATCTGGGGGGGGGGGGGGTGAAAAGAGAGAGAGAGAGAGAGAGAACAATTCGAATACAGAAATGACGTTGCCCTATGATTCCTTAAAACGAGCGGCAAGCAACTCACCCCGCGTGAAAGACAGTTCGAAGAAACCATTCTATTTACGGCCCGTATACTCTCATAGTGTCGTATGCTAATTTCGTCATCGTCGACGTCGAGTTATAGAGGGTAGGTACACGCTAATTTTAAATGGCCGTTAGAAACCACTTTCTTTAGTCTCCCGACTTTTACAGAATTAATCCGCCGCTATTCCATGCGAACTTTCACCGTGTTTGTGTGTGCGCGCGCCTCTAGCCGCGGTGACTACATCGTCGGGTTGTTCATTAACTGCCCCGGGCTCTCCTCGCAAGTATACATCTACATGCCTTACTGTCCTCGCATAATCGGTGTGCATAAACTACTTTTGCAGATATTATTTTTAGCCGTAAAACTTTCCTGCGTTACCCATATCCGAATAAAGCCGTCATCGATCGTTCGCCATCATCAGTGTACCCGGGATATCGTCCGTCATGCCGTTTCTCATTCGAAGATAATGTTCAATTCACGCCAGTAGTATGTCACAGTCGAATGTAACTATCGTCGCCTATAAATGACACACGAAGCTCTTGTTCCCGTTGGATCTCCGCGTTAGATTGTCTCTCTGGACCGACAATTCTGTTGAGTTAATTAAAGACTGCGAGCTAGTAATCAGATATACTTCGGATCGCGTTTCTGTTTGGCAAAACATTATCTTGACGGTACAGAGAGATCTATTCCTTTCTTTCTACGTTATATATCGCAAAGATATCTCTCTCAATGATCTTGTAGATATTCATTTTATCTTTCAAATCTACATCATGGATATCATTATTAAAACAACAGAAGCAGCAAATTTAGTTGACCGACGTTAATCGACGTTTTCTATTCAAAGAAAAACTATGATTCAAGACTTGTTAACAACTTCCGACTTTTGTTCGATTTGAAGAAACTATATCTTTATGACTTCATACGTTAGACTCTCTTAATAATGCAAACAACTTGTATTTGTCCAGACAAGCGAACTGTGCTTCACAGAAGCATTGCCCTCTAATCAGCTATCGTATCTCGCGATTACATTCATGAAGTTCCGTAACGATTGTTAGAGATAATTACGATAATTATACGGGAGAATATTGTGAGATACTACTGCCAAATTGATGATCCTCCCACTCTTCTCTGACAAGATGAATGTATGTTTAGACAAACTATTCTTGAACGACGAGAGTTCGCTTAGTTTCTTCGTTAATAACGTTAATATAATATAACAAAGAATGAAAGTACGAGGAGATGAAGAGGAAAGAGAGATTTCCAATGTAGGCGACGATTAAATAATTCTTAATTGCTTTTACATATATATCTAAAAGATACGCGTCACGCAAGTAGCTTGTACCGATACGTTCCTTGTAATTACACCATCATTATTGAACTAAGATAAGCATAGACCGGAGATATTTCATTTAGTATTTCAAACTGTTTTCTCTTTTTCTTTTCACACACCTCATACGCCTCTCCGGTGTCTCAATAATCGAGATCAGTCTTGTAAGCGACAAAGACGTAGCGTAACACTCGAAATAATTGGCTTCCTAGCTAGGATTAAAGGAATCTTAGGGTTATACATTTAATGGGAATGCAATGATAACGGATACAAATACTATAGTAGGCTGTATATACCGGCATAGATAATAAGTGTCGATCGTCTGCTTAAGGAGAAACCGAAATATTATCTATTAATTGTTCAAACGTCCCCGCCGATGTTACAAAAAAAAAAAAAATGGGGCGTTTTATGTTGATCCTATCTGTCGCAATTAAATTTACGTGTTTCGAAATCAGGCGTTTTACATGTCCAAGTATAATTACGCTAGTCTGGAAAACAGGGTAATTATTAATCTCAAACAGTTGCCCGATCATCTTTGGGCCACTATTAGCGAAGTAGAATATTTGTGCGTGTCGCCAAGTAAGAATAATTGACCCCTTTCGTTTTCTCCAGATAAGAAAAAATTCTTTTGCCAACCACGTGCAAGTTCAATCATTCTTTCTTAATCAGACCATCGAATTATTGTTGAATGTAATAATAATGTGAAAGCTTACACCTCGCAGACACACAGCCTCTGCCACTAAATGTATATAAAAATGTTATATACAGAGAAGATAGAAAGAGATTAATCGTTTTTTAATTAATTAGTTAAAAGAAAATATATTCGGAAAGAAAGAAAAAAAAAACAATACGAAACTTATATCAACTCCGGATGGGATACTTGAATTCACTTCGGTTGTTGTATCAATGTACCATCTATTATAGAAAAAACAGAGCGAAAGATAATAGGCGTTTATATTTTATTCGGTCGACATTTCCTGATGTTATAACGTACAACCACACTGCAAGAAAGACTTCAAAGTTCAAACGAGCATAGCGATTTATAATGGAGATTGGTATTTAAATGTAATATATACAAATTGAAGTGGAAGACGCGCGGGGAGCTTTGAATAGTGCCTGCTTAAAATTCAATTTATTATATATCTCAAACAATTAGGTATGGTTGAACAATTAGTCGTTTGCGACATTGCACGTTGGATTTGAATCCGACAGATCGATCAACAGGAAGTAGATTACAAAAATGTGACCCATTTTATTAAGATAAAAGATAAGTAGATAAGAGTTTATATCCTGTGTTATCTTTTCTAATAGTAAACAATGTCGCTGAACAGATCTATCTAAATGAATATTCTATCTCATTGAATGTTACTGAAAATACCTGACGATAACCAAGATACGTTCGCACAAATGATGTAAAGACCGATTTCCTATTAAACCGCGCGACTCCTTGATCAATCGATCCGTTTCCACCAGGTGTACGATGTCGCAAACGAGATATTTCATAGAGTGATCGTAGCGCGATACCGAAAGAAAAGTATACACACTTAAAAGCTTTGACTACCTTAATATTGTATAAAGACGACACACACGCGATGATGAAAAAAAAAAAAGAGTGTATCTAAAGACTGTTAGTAAAGAAGAGCGAACACGAAATAATTAACACGTAGTTACAAGCTGCAATCGAGCTCAATAGCGCGTTTACGTTGACGAACCTCTCATAATATCGTATCGACAAGCTTGCGTCTGTATTTAATTTACGTTACGGGGATACGCCGCCGGTTTCAATACGGCTGCATATTTCATAGGTTTGCTATTCTATAAAGCGTTTGTTAACATACATCATACTCTTCCCCTATTCTACGCGAGATTTCCCATTATTTGATATTATTAAGTGTACATAAAGATAAAAAAAAAAGTGGTAATTGTATATAAATACTGTTACTGTTCTACAAACTATATTATGTAATATGAATATATAAGAAAAAATTGGTTATTTAGTATAACTTTGATTGTGAGATTTTTGACTTACTTTTATTTGGGGATCCTTCACTTGCAGGACAGTATCCAAGACTGACGCACCAATAACCACCTGAATAAAACATTAGTTTTAAGTATATTTCAATTAGAGATAGTGGAATATGAGATTACTTAATGCTGTGTCAGCCTTGAAAATGTTATGCTAAAGTGTATTGATAAGATAGCTCCTCACGTTACGTTTCTCAACATATTGTAAGTTTATTTTTAAGAACAGTTTTACTTTCTTTTTGAACTTACCGGTTTTTGTTTCGATATTATTGATGAAACAGAAGTAGATCTTATATCGGCTGTCTGAGATTTTTCACAGAGATTCAAGGCGATTTCAGCTGCGACCTTAGCATTATTTTCTATGAGAGCTATATCTGTAAAATTACCGTAAGCCCAAATATTTGAAACATAACAATTACATTTTATCGTATTTTATATCGCAATTAATTTCTATTCACTCACTCGCTTCAAGTGACTGACCACGCGTAATCTCGTTGAGCTCACTTAGAAGGAATGGTGTAACTTGCTTGCCCGTTATGTGCATAGCATTAGCTTTCTTTAAAGCCTCAGATATAGCAGCGTCCACGACACTAGGCTGCAATGCATATTTTTCAGGAATAGGAACTGCAAATAATATCCCTGTGTTAATATCCAGTACTCTCTGTGCTTCTATAATACCGGCTGCTTCCTTGGCATTGGAGATTCTGCATGGTGCTTTTATTTTGTCTGTAGTTTCGGAACAGTAAAAGGCTGGAAATTCTGACGTTTCACCTATTTTTATAACCGGTACTCCCTGAGTTTCCTGCGAGCATAAAATCCATATTTTTATGTCAACTTCTGGAAACAAAATGGACATTAATAAGTTGTATGAATCTTAAAAATGATTGTTTATTCATATCTATCAAATCTTCAAGTATATCTACCAAATACTCCAAGGTCTTGCCAATGTCCAAGATAGATTTGACACCAGAGCAAACAACTGCCACCGGCGTGCGTCCAAATTCAATTAGATCTGCACTGATGTCAAGAGTTAGCTCAGCTCCCCTGTGAACACCGCCGATACCACCTGTTGCCATTATTGGAATACCAGCTGCATGTGCAATTAACATCGTGCCACTGACTGTTGTACCACCGTTCAATCCTTGCGACAGAATGAAAGAAATGTCCCTTCGTGAACATTTCATGGTCTTTGCAGGATCAACTTTAGACAAGGTCTCCAGTTGTTCATTGTTCAAACCTACATGTATCTTGCCATTTATGATTCCTATCGTTGCAGGTACAACATCCTAAAATAAGCAAAAATTGTCTACTATTGTTTACAACATTATTGCTCAATTGTGATAGATCAGCTTTTAAAGTTACATTCAACAACTCACAATATATTTAATATTATCGTACAAAACTTTTTTCATTTTTCATAATAATTCGGGCAACCCTCGTTTTATCAATAATCAAACAGACCTCTCAATATGGTAGTTTCTAAATTTTAGTTATATTTTATATTATACTGAGTACTTTTCAGCAAGAGACACAGATAAGATCATATACAGTGTAACACAATAATTATTACGTTATTATATGCCAGTATTAAACAAGGAAGAAATTGATTAATGTCTCTTGCTGGAAAGCACCAACTGTTTATCCACCGTGGAAAAAAGAACGTTATCAGATGTCATATACAAACTTGCTTTCTGATCGCGTCTTCGACTTTCAACGCGGTATCCAAGTTATCTGGATACGGCATGCCATGTGTGATGATCGTTGACTCTAGTGCCACGATGGGTAGACCACGTTTCCGAGCTGCCACGACGTCCGGCCCGTAAACGAGCGAGTCCCGGCCGGCGATCGATCTCCGATGGATCGGCGGCACGTCGGATCTTCTCCATAATTTTGTTAGGAGCTCGCTCAAACGGGATCGATGCATATCGAGATGAACGAACGGACGATGTACAGAATACATTAGACGCGAACTTCTCTTAACTTCTAGATAAGACAGACGGATGTGAGTAATCGCGATAACCACACACGTTATTTGAAACTTTGTTTGAAATAAATTAAGATAAATATCGATTAAACTACGAGTGTCTCGATACGTATAGCGAACGAAGGATGCTTTATTTTCACAGTTTTATATAATGTCGATGGCATTACCTCATTTTTCTTCCATTTTTATCTTTGTATAAGAAGATCGATAAAGATCCTTATCCGATGTTGACGTCTGTCTCTCGATTGCATCGCCTGTAACCGAATTGCCCCCTATAGCTGCACTGTAATATACCTTCTGCGCTTAAAATGAAAATGGGTGTATGGTTCGATATTGGAGAGAAAAAAAGAGAGAAGATTAAAAAAAAGATGAAAGATTTGTAATTTTTCGTAAATTCGATGTCACGAATTTACTTTTACGATTCCACGCGTAAAGTTGTTTATGTTTCAGGATCAGGACACGTGCGAGCACGTCATCAGGCATCAGGATTGCGCATCGCGAACAGCTGATCACACGATCACAGCTGATAATCCGGCATCTTCGAAACGCGCGGAGAATTGAACGTTAGGTTAGGAAATGAACGAGAGAGTTGAAAATAAGCTTGTTCTTTTTAATTGAACTTCTTGCACAATTCACTTTTTCTCTTTCCTCACTCCATGGAGAAAAGAAAGAGAAAAGATTAACTGTACAAGTATAGTTTAGCTAAAATTGCTACAAAGAAGAAGTCTAATAATGCTTTCTGATTCAAAAGAATAATGATCACTTGAACAGAACTGCAGTTGATATCGACTTTATCCTCTCTTTTTCTTTGCCGATTGGCTGATCGATTAACAGAGAAAAGGAGTTCGAAACATATAGATATCAATTAACTTCATTACAGAATAAGACGGCATTTTTGCTCCCGATCAAGTAATATTGAATTAATTATTGAAAATATAATTTTAAATTTTTAAATTAATAATCACGATGTACTATAATATCTAGATGTAACGAATATATATACACGATAAAATATAAAGACATAAGTAATACCACAATGACCGAATCACTACAAAAATTAACGCATAAATTCAGTTAATAAATCAGACAAATTGACATTTTGTTTGACTTTCTTGTTCTCCTTTTGGATTTTCACTCAGACGATAAGTTATCGCATAGATCTGTTTTTTACAGCATCTTTTTAAAAACATAGAAATAAATGAAATAAATAGGATAATTCCAACAGTGTGGACTCTTTCTTTGAGACTATATATAGTGTACAACCTATATAATAAGAATCTTAGTTCAGACAGTAAAATGGAGCTTAGATATATTTATTCTTTAAACTAAAAATTTATCAAGTATCAATGTAAAATACTATCTCGTACTTTTGGGAGATTAATTTTACTAAGAAAAGAAAAATGCAAACTCTTGAGCAAGTGTCTTCTCAAGAGTTTGCATTAGTTCGCGATTTTTACTTTTTGCTTTTAAATATAACTATATAAAAATTATTACAGATATTAAATAAATCTATTACTAAATACACGAAGCCTAGAACATGCATACACACAATATAAATAGTACGGATTTACTAAGCAACGATTTAATGTAAAAATCGATCAATTCATCCATGAAAGTTACAGAAAAAAATTATATAAGTTTAAAATCACAAAATTTAAAGTATCTCGATCCTTTATCGCTGAAACGATCATAAAGATTTTATATACACATAGATCAGCAAACCAAAAAAACACATTCTGTGTGAAATGCAGTTCTTACGATCAAATAGTTTCATCGTAAAGCTCAGTGCGAACTCTTGAACGATGCATTTAGGCGGTCTTACTTAAATATTTGATATTTGGCTAAAGTGAGAAAAAGGTTTTAGTGCAATATAATATAAAAAAGAGACAGCGAAACGTGAAAGGTCAAAATACTTTAAAAATTATTACTAATATGTAGCACATTTTTGACTGTAATAAATATGGATGACCCGGAGATTGATTAACCCGAAAGTACCATGACCTCATCTAAATAGAAACCAAAGTAGAACATGCGTGTGACGTCATTTACGAGATAATCGATCTTGGATCGTTATTTAAACCCGCTGCGATCGAAAACGCTGTAAAAGTCACTTTTCAATCAGAAACAATTTATTTTAACGTCATTTCATGGCTTGTTTTGCTTGAGTACTATAATTTCCTACATTCGTTGTATTCACTGTCAGTGTTGAAAATTTATAGTGTACTTACGTACATATATAACATGCTGTAGATTTTCAGTACTGACAGTAAATATTAAAACGTAGCCTTCATGAAAGGTCTCTAGTGACGTCAGATGAGATAAATGAGATGATCGAGTCTTTTTTTATTGAATTGTAAAACATTTTTCATCTAAAGATAATTTCGATTAAATTCCAATTACTTTAATCGATAATTATCAAATATAACATCTGTATCATATTTTGTTAACATGGATTGAAATTTATTCTTGTAAAAATTTACAAATATAAACAATTAATCAAAGGCTAATACCTAAGTCGTGCTTGGCTTATTTAGTTTTTAATTTGTTTATTAATGAATTTTATTCAAACAGCTTTCAATTACATTTACATTAAATTTGAATCTTTGTTATTAAACGTATAAAAGAAAAGATTTAACTAACAATAACGAATATGTTATACAGTTTGAGTCGCGCGAAATTTGACCGTAACATTGTTTACGTAAAAGTCACTGCTCTATTTTACTAATTATAAAAAAATTATATATTGTAACAAATATTAAAACGAATAACAACGGTTGAAAAATAATATTCATCCCTCTTATAAAAATTAATTTAATATCAGTTTATAGAAATAAATATAATACTGGCCAATTAATCACTTCTTTTGAATATTAAAAAAGTATAACCGTTAACAGTACTTTTTTAATTATTATTAAAAATTACAACGAGAATCGAATGACATTAATCTAATAAATATCGTTCGATACTCATTATCTCATAATTTTTGATAAATACAAAAAAATTGGTATATCTAGTAAAAAAATGTCAGCAATCATACAATTCTCGCAGTCATTGCAAAGATTAAAAACACAAATGCCATTGGTAAATGCCATGTAATCTGTAAATACTATATGTAATGTCATCAGTATGTTCATCAGTAAATATGCTCATCATTTAGGCTATTAATAGATTGTTTAGTAGATATCTTATCCGAACCGTTTATGCTGATAATTTTTATTACATATGTACTTCCATATTGCGACAATTCTATCGATTTGACGTCAATTTTCGGGATTTAACGTATATATTCCCCAATATAGTTTCCATTAATTGTATCGTAATTGGAGCAAAGCACGATTGGAGATGACCGATATTTCTCGAAATGACTTCTTAAAACAACTATATAACTGTAAATGAATTGCTTTTTTTTTCCCCTAAAACTCTCCCACTACATCGTCGCCGAGATTATCGACGCAATGTTGTGAAAATTCGCTCCGGCCTCGCTGTCGCCGAGATTACAAGTTCATCGAAGGTCAATCCTAGTTGCGTCTGTGTGCGGGAGCGTGACGTTTTCGAGTGCATAAGATCAGATTTTTGCCGAGTCTCACGAGACATTTTGAGTTCAAGGGTGGAAAAACGCAGTGGGATATGAAGATATGATTTCCAAACGCGACAATATCGTACATATATATCATATCGATGCCGTCGTGCAGCACGTAGTGCGCGATAATCTCACTCCGAAGTGTACGACGAGAATGCCCCCGCACAAGGAGCCGCTTTCCCGCCTGCAGGATGACGAAATGTATTCGTTTAGTAGATCGCTGCGAAATCAGGAATCGTCATACACAAGAGACAAACCTATGAATTTTAGTGAAAATGAGAAAAGGTACATATTTCCTTTCGACTATAGTGAAATTCCAGTCATGAGTTCTTATAAGTCTCACAGAGAACAATTAAGTTGCAAACCTTACAATTTTGCTTAGGATTGACTCATAAGTCTCCAGACTTTTCATTAGAAATATATTATAAATGAATAAAAACCGATATGAATATACTCACAAAGAAAATATTATAGCAAGAATTACAATAGAATCTCTTAGGCCGGAATCAGATTGAAGATTGAAAATTGGAATTTGACCAATGAGGATAAAGAAATTTTAACTCCTATTATTTTGATTAGCCAAAATTCAATCTTTCAATCTTCAATCTCAATCTTCAATGCGTAGTCTAATTCCGGCCTTAGAATTAGCGTGAAATTTTACGAGAGAGTTGCTGTAATTTTATTCGAATTTTTAAATGTACACTTTATCGATTAAATTTCTTGTAAGAATGAGAATCTCAAAACGGCGTAGCGTTACTTTAACACAAGTTGTACGTTTTATTTCGTCCAAAGAGAATAATTACTATGTCGATATACAGTATATTCAGATCAGACGTAACGAAAAATAGACTGATTAAACTGAAATAGACGTTTTAAGCTTAGAACCCACTTTAGGCGACCTATAATTCGTGTCAGATTTCAAGATAGAATCCTATTTATAATTTTATATGCCGTGTACAAAAAAAAACATCTAAAGGATCAGAAATACATTGTATATATAAATATAGGATGCGCGCAAGTATCAAAATACGCAGCGTATCTGAAATTATAAATAGAATTCTGTCTTGAAAAATCTGACGCGAATTATAGATCGTCTGAAATCGAATTAAGCATTGTTATATATTTACAAATTGTCCCCGTAGTACGAGTTAAAATACCTACAACTGTTCATAGTGCACATCGTAATCAGGCCTGAATTAAAAAGTTGAGGGGCCCGGGGTTATTTAACTTTAGGGGGCTCTTTTTTCAATCTTTTTAAAAAAGATGATCACGTCTATACGTAAAGCAGTATAATTAGATAAAATAATATTAAAATGTCAACATATTTAATTCTAAATCTAAAACACAATAGAATATACAAAAATTACTTAACATTAAAAACATGATGCACGTAACAAGTTTCGACTTTTCGATTGAGTCCTCTTCAGACTTCAAAATATCTCTTTCGTAGATAAAATTATTATAGATAGTCAAAATGTAATATTGTTGTTGAAAAATTTGATAATTCGCAGGTTAACAAAGTTTCTGTAAAAATTAATGTAACGCTATACAAATTGTTGTGTGAATATATTAGAGTTTTTAAGAAAACACTTACCAAAACAATAATTAAAAAACAGATATAAATTGTGTCCATTTGTTCGAATAATATGTGTTCAACAATGTAATACAAAATGCGCAGTGCAACGGCAATGCGTTGTAAATGCACAGAACACCGATTTTGTGTTTATTTTATAAAGAGATGTAATTCTTTTAACACAACACATGATAACAGACTGGACGAGAAGACAAGCGAAACGATATTGAAAGATCATATTTTGTTTATAATGGGTATATATATGCCTTGTGAAGACCTTCTGTATCAGTTTGTAAATTCAAACTATGTTTTTGCTTTTTAATATTAAGGATCTCCAATATTATGCGTTTTCTATAGCATGGTCCTTTGTCTAAAATTTTGACATCATCCCATTGAAAGTCATGATCGTAATTTAGGCTCAGTGATAACTGATCGGGTCGATGTATTATATCTGATATGGTTGCGTTGTTCTAGTTGTTAATTCTAGTTTTCAGTTGCTTCCCGTCCAACATACGAAGCATCGCAATCGTTACACTGGATCTTATACACTACATTGTTTCTAGATGTATGTGGACGTATATCTTTTTGAACCTTAATATATTTTCGCATTTTATTAGGAATTACTATGAAACGATACCCTGATGTCATTATTATTAAACCGTTTAAATTTTTCTGTTCGTGAAGGTATGAAAGGTACAGCAAGCCAAGAAGTCGTTTTTTTATTATCGTCCTCACTGTTGGTGGTTTCATGATTTAATGTATGATTATTTTTATTTTTATTCAGGTGTTTTAATCGTTGGTTGATTGTGTCAAAAATAAAAGATAAAGGGTAGTCATTATTTAATAAAATATTTTAATGATAAGATTTAGATTCTTTGTATGAAAATTCAAGTCAGAAAGTAAAAAAGCTCTATCAACCAGCGAATAAATTGTGCCTTTCTTTTGAGAAACAGGATGATTTGAAAAAAAGTTAAGGAATCTACTTGAAAACGTAGGCTTACGGTATCAGTCAAATACAAAATAATTATCAATTATTGAGATTAAAGTATCCAAAAATTCTAATTTCTTGTCTCCAATTTCTAGTGTAAATTGGAGACGAGGATGAAAGGAGTTAAACACTTGGAATAAAGAGTCTATTTCATCCCGTAAGACTGCAGTACAGATGTCATCTATATATCTAAAATAAAACAGAATATCCAAATTACATGACATCAAGGACATCGCTTCGAGTCTCCTCATTACTAAATCGGCAACGATGGGTGACAACGGAGAGCCCATGAGTGTGCCGAAACATTATAATAAATTTATAAATCTTCTGATTAAATACAAAATAAGAAGAATCTAAAATAAATCTAATCACCTCCAACAATTCATTCTTTGGCAATGAGCAATTCCTAGAAATAAAAGACCAATGTTCATTTGTATGCAGTCTATGGCCATGTCTGTTGGAACATTTGTAAAAAGAGATATTACATACATAAGGCCCGTATTCATAGTCTTAGGTCGATCTACGATTGATAAAAAAAAAAAAATTCTTTCCCAATTGTAAAATCATTGTAGGTATGTTATGCGGAATGTCAACAGAAGACAAATTGATAAACCACTTATCTCTAACTGTGGATAAAGAAGAACTGTTTTGTGAAGGAAAATCATTAGGAGAAATGACAGTAGGTGAAGATGGAGAAGATACTGTATAGGTTTTATGTTTTCGTGGTCTTGTTTTTCTTTGTCTTTTCATAGCTAAATAAATAAGACAGCCTGACAATATGCTTACCACACGGAACAACATCATTCTGTAGTGATGGATCTCTCTAAGTGCATCGTTGAGTTTGATGTGTAAAATTTTTCGAACAGAAAATTCTTTGCAGTGTGAAAACTTCCTATTAGAAATCTGGTTAAAAAATTTTATATTTAAGTTGTTTAAAACGTGTAAGTGTTGAGGAACAACGTTATTGTTGATACACTGCTTAATGAATTTAATATGTAAGTAAGTCGTAATATAATCTTTCTACGAAATTTTATCCATAATTTGAGATGTTTAACTGCAAAAAATCCAAAATTTTTTGATATAAATTCAAAATAAGACATATAATGTGATGTTCGCATTATTACAGCCTGCGATTAAAAACAAATAAGATGAAAATATTCAAGGACTCTTAATATAACAATAATCAACATAAATTAAAAGGGCGAAGTAGGAGTCAGAAGTAAAAATCACATTTAAAATAATATTAAAATGTCAACATATTTAATTCTAAATCTAAAACACAATAGAAAATACAAAAATTACTTAAAATTAAAAACATGATGCACGGCTATCAAAAAACAAAGAAAAACAAGACCACGAAAACATAAAACCTATACAGTATCAGCCTCTCACTTCTCTGAAATCTTCTCCATCTTCACCTATGATTGTCATTTCTCCTAATGATTTTCCTTCACAGAACAGTTCTTCTTTATCCACAGTTAGAGATAAGTGGTTTATCAATTTGTCTTCTGTTAACATTCCGCATAACAATATACAATGTTTTTTTACAATTGGGAGAGAATTTTGCTCTTCCTTTCAACAAAAAAAGTAGGATCATTTTTGAATGTATAAAAAGTATAGAGTACTCTCAAAATGCCTATAGACAAAAAAATTGAAGTAACAAATCACTCTATTCCTATACTTAACAACATCATCACATCATCATGTTTTACGTCTTTGACAGATAATTTTACAAAATCTTGTACTAAATTATTAAAATCAATCGATCTTAGTAATTCAGATTCGATTGCTAAGCGAGTTAAAGATGTTAATCGTTCGTCCAACATCACTGTTCTGTACATATTTTTTATTCTTTTAAGAACAGAGAAAGATCTTTCTGCTTCACAATTTGCTATTGGTATAGTTACAAATATTCTAAGCGCTATGTAAACATTGGGAAAAACATCAATCACTTGCTTCTCAACTAATTTTAATTTTAATCAAAAAATTAAAATTTTTTTCTTAATGTAACGGGAGCCCCTTATATTTCCGTGGGGCCTGGGGCTACAACCCCCCCTAGCCCCCCCCCCCCTTAATCCGGGCCTGATCGTAATTTCTAACGCGATCGGTAAAAATCAATAGTCCATTGTGCAAATTTTATAGCAACAGGTCCTCTAATATCTCATAGCATTGGCTGAGTTCATGAAGAAAAAGTAGCTTTGCAGTTAATGAAGAAATTTTTTAATATGATTCGTCTTGTTCTCCCTCTAGGATCTAAATATATATAAAACGATCACATTAAAGATTCTTCCCAAGCAGAACAAGTCATTATGGTATTAAGATGATTCCAAAATGATCATTAAAGTAATTTTTCAATAATTTCCGATTTATCTTAAGATTGCACTTTGACATTATCGTGACTTGTTGTTCTACTTGGGTTACAACAGTTGCAAAATTGTTTTTCTGCTAAATGCAGCTAAATATATTATAATATAAATAATTTAAATATATATATAGTGATATCAATATATAATTCTACATTACAAAAAGGACTATTATGTAATTGGTATAATATTTTCCTTATATTCGAATAAGCTGGAAAGAAGTAGAAAAATATCATATGAACTGTAATAATAAAAAATTTTAATGGTAAATAATTCAGAAAGAATTTGTGTTTAGGGACGAATACGAATTAAGCGCTTGTGCTTATGGTAAGAATAACGTCAAGTTGTTGTACGTAAATCGGAACAAAGAACCTTACCACGACGTTCGCGAGTACGAGATCGACACGCACTTACGTCTGTATGGTCGAAGGGAGTATTTCGGTGATAATCGCGACATCGTCTCGACGGATAGTCAGAAGAATACGGTGTACGTGCTAGCGAAAAAGCACGGCGTTCAATCACCCGAAACGTTCGCACTTCTGCTTTGCTCTCACTTCCTCTACACGTACAAACACGTGGAGCAAGTCAGCATCAACATCGAGGAATACCCGTGGACCAGATACTACGCTAACAACCAGCCGCACAATCACGCCTTCGTTATGAAACCGACTGCGACGAGATTCTGCCAAGTCAGTCAGGTCAGAAACGGTACGATTTGTGAAAAATGATTCGCTATCTCACATAATTCACACTGAAACTAATTTGGAAAGTGAGAAATAATGATCTGTTTTAAATTTCTCTCTAAATAAATTTAATTCTTATAATATGGAAGAAATAATAATGCCTAGTCGAGTCAATGCACTGGATGTCCGTGTGAAATAGAAAAAAGTTTATTGTAGATGTGTACATACGTTTCGATCCTTACTTTTGGGTCCTTATCAAAGTGAATGTTCATTTAATACATTGCAATGTGCTACCTAGAACACTTTACAATAATAATAAGTTTGATAGTCTACGGAATTGACAATATAATGTTTAAATTGTTTTGTGAACTGTTTAAATTATAAAAAATAATAAGAATATAAAGAATATAAAGAATATAAAGAATATAAAGACTTACATGAAATGAAATTAAATGGATGGAGAGACATATATTGATATGTTGATTGTACATGAGTTAAAGTGATAATGTGACGAAGAAATACATAAAACTATACATTTCTTTAAGTATGTTATTGAAAATGGAAATCAAATGTCAGTGAGTAAACAATCATATGCTTTGTTTAGCAAGTCAGTGTCAGTTTGTAAGTTTAAACTGTTCTTTTGTCTATGTATGTGTATCATTTCTGAAATGAGTCTCTTATTTAAAATATTTTCTTCATCCAGAATTTTAATATCGTCCCAATTAAAGTCATGTGAAAATTGCAACCTATGATCAATTATTACTGATTTTTGTTGTGTGTTTCTATTTATATGATTTTTATGCTCTGAAATTCTGGTTTTAAGAGTCCTACTAGTCTGTCCTACATATGTTGCATCGCAATCATTGCAAAAAATCTTGTAAACTACGTTAGAACGCATCATAGTGTGTAATCTATCTTTTTGTACCTTGATGATATTGCCAAGATTATTGATACCCTTATATGCCAATCTAATGGTTTCACAGTCTTTGAAATAATTTTCAATTTTGTTCGATATATTTTTTATATATGGAATTGTGAAATAATTAATTTTTGTTTAATAATAATAAAACTTATTATTATTGTAAAGTGTTCTAGGTAGCACATTGAAATGTATTAAATGAACATTCATTTTGATAAGGATCCAAAAGTAAGGATCGAAACGTATGTACGCATCTACAATAAACTTTTTTCTATTTCACACGGACATCCAGTGCATTGACTCGACTAGGCATTATTATTTCTTCTTTGATTTTTATCTCACGAGTCTATATAATTAATAATTTATTATATCTTATAATATGGATTTATTTTTTAAACACAATTAAATTTTAATTCTATAGCTAGCGTTTTTTTCATTATTATTGCTTTTATAGAAAAACGACATTAAGTAACCAAATATAATCACATAAAATGTTAAAGTTGCATAAATTATGAATGGTCTATTATAGTATCTTTTATTTATATGTAAGACATAACTTTTTGCCCTTAAATTAAAATACAATACTTTTTAATGCAATATATTTTATTTCGAAAAGAAAACTTTGTAAAGTTTATTAAACATGTATTTGAACAAGCAGAAAAAGATTAGCCTGCTGGCTTTTCATTCCGATTTACTTGGTTCTAGGACCGCCACAAATACGCGGTGGAATAAAGGGGCTGCGAGTGTTAAAAACCACTCAGAGCTCGTTCTCAAACTTCATTCAGGACGAATACGGCACGTTGCAAGACACGCATGATCGTATTTTCAGTACTACTGTAATGGCAACGTGGGACTATTCTACTGCCGAGGTAGATTTCGATGACGCGTGGCGTACGGTGAAGGAGTGCATTCTAGAGAATTTCGCGGGTCCACCGAATACGGGAATTCACTCGCCCAGTGTGCAGAATACGGTTTATCTCACGGAAAAGTGTATACTTGATAGAGTCAAACAAGTAAGTATTATCATATCATTATCACAAAGTAACAGTTATCTATTTCACCATTTTTTGCCTAAAAGAAGATCTTGATTTAATTTAATACATATATCTAAAAATAATTTAATATTACTGAAATATATTAAATAATAATAAAATAATATGTTAAATTATTTCATCTTAAATATTATGTGTGCATTATGCGGAAATAAAATATTTACAGATTAGTAGCGTCGAGATGCAAATGCCGAACAAGCATTACTTCGATCTGGACTTCAGTCCGTATACCAAACTTCATTCAGTACAAGGAGAGAACAAGGAGGTTTATCTACCCGTAGATAAGCCGTCGGGTATTATTTACGGTCGATTAAACAGAAAAGATTCCTCTGCCAAATTATAGATATAGTATATGATTGTTGAGTTATTAATAAAGTTCAAACTTTTTATAATTAATTTTACTTACAGTCACGAACACTCAAATAAATATTTAAAACCCACTTTAAACTCCGTAACTCGCGCCAGATTTCGGAATTGAATTCTACAATTTTTATACGTTACGTGATATATTATGTACATATATTTTATATATACTTTAATTCTCTTAATTTTTTTCTTATATGCCTCGTAAAGTTATATAAACAGATTATTTACACACATCTATAGAATTATTTTATTTTATTTTATCATAGGAAGTATGAGACAAAATACGCTCAAATTGAGCGGACACTTTTTTTTTTTTAATGAAATAGTTATAGGACTACTAAAAATGTTACGTAACGAAATTTACTTTTAAAATAGATTACCACTTGTAAAATATGTTCTCGGCGACAGTGGATCTATACGACGTGCCTCCAGCATGGTGGGAAGCGGATTGCGTGAAATACGGGTGAGATCGAAGTCTTGTCGCCGATTTTCGTCGAGAATAACCTCTTAATTAATCGACACAGACTCAGTCACGTACCCGTGAGATCGCGATTAACATCGCTGATGGGAACTAACGTAGTACGACTGACAGACCGCAGATATATGATACAGCTCGCGTCGAGGCTGCAGAAAGATTACGAGGCGCACCAAAAGGCTCGCATCGAACGAAGGAAATTGAAGGCAGTCTCGATCGTACCGCAATTGAGGGAATTATTGCCCAGATCGTTATTGAAGACTACTCGGCGACGGCATGAATGCGAGCCGAAATTTCACGCGTATGCGGCTAAAATGTGTAAACAACTTCCGCAGATGTTACTCGCAAATTATTCGGAGCCTCGTGTCAAATTCTAAATTATCATTCACATAATAACATTTATGTTTATTTTGGCCATTTCGACGAGTAAATCTAAATGTAAGAAAAAGTACAGAGTCAAGGAACATTTCGATATCTGTTATACGCATAATAAATAATAAGCTTCAGGCATGTTCTTTTAATTAACTGAACTTCTTATACGATTCATCTTTCTTTTGTTTCATATTAGAAAAAAGAAAGGGAAAGGATGAATTGTGTAAGAAGCATAAAAGAATAGACCTATCGTCAAATTTATACAGCGGACTAAAAACTTAACTTAGAAGTTAAGTTTTTAATTAGCTAATCTACAGCTAAGTTAAAGCTAAACGATTTGATGCGATGACCAATTTTAATCACAATTGTTAGTTTCGAGAGAAAGAAACAGGTGTTTCATGGCGAGGCCTTTTAAGTCGTCGCCGTCTCTATCCGTCTCTGCCGCGACTTCTTCAACGGCAGATGAAACACGAGTGGCCGATTGACGGGAACTTGCACCAGTATTCCTTTGGAGTTACGATCGATCGAGTCGAGCGCGTCGTCGGTGTCTGCAAAAAGATCGCTATTTTTAATCACGAGATTGCCAGGTCCTTATATTTTCTCACGCGTTCCAGTCGATAAACGAGCAAACGATCGATTTTTCCTCGTGCAGAATTATCTGTACTCACCTAGAATCTTTTCGCCCCAAAGGTCATCCCATAGATCCGACCCGGGCAAATGCGGGAGATCCGACGACATGATTAACGACGGATCTGGCGCGTATCCGTAATGATAATTCGACCAGCCAAACGACCCGAGTGTGTCACTGGAAAAGAAAATAGTCGAGTTATCCTCATATACGGAAAAGAATTGTTTTGTTAACATATCTAGAAATTTATCTGGATACGAATCTAAAAATAATTGCGTTGGACTACCAAAATAATTATGTAGCTTGAACTGATTAAGAGAGTGCCAAAACATAGATATTGCATGCAATGCTTTCTACTTAATTATTATATTTTGATAAGTCAACAAAATTAGCCTCAAATCTGTATCTATATAAATTTTATATAATCCCGTAAAATTGTTTTCTTCGTATATACGTAATTATTTAGATGATCCAACAACATTATTTTCAGATTTGTACGTATGCAGTTGAATTTTTAGGTACTTTAGCAAATCGTTCTTTCCGTACGTTTTTATACCAATGTAAATTTATAACTTTAATTTTAGTTTAACTCACTAAAAGTAATAGAAAGAATAATTATTCTAAGATTAGAAAAGGTAAATTACATCGATATTAAAGTTAATCTGCATTAGTAGAAATGGACGTTAGGTAGTCGCATCAGCCATGTGTAATACGCATAACATAACGGTTGCAAATAGAACTAAAAGGATTAGTGATGAGATTGTAAGTTTTCTCGCACGCGGCGTCGGCAATACGAAAACTGAACTAGAAATATCACTTTCCCTCGTGCAATGATTTATTATTTTTCTATATAGATTAGTTTTTATGAGACGCAATCGAGTTGCGAAACAAGTTTCATCTTTTTTATTCAACATTGGAACGTACTCGTAAAATTCGTCGAGATAGTATTTATCTGGTGCTCTCGTCCATGCCAATAGAGGGAAAGGCATCGGATAATAATGTATGTGGTAGTGTTGTACATGGCCCATCTTAGGCAGCGTCTTTTTCGCCCTCAGAGATTCGAAGAATTCCGTCAGTGCCTTCTTAGGGCTGCAACGTGAGAAAACGTGTTATGAATAATTGAAGACAGAAAAGCGGAAAGTAGAAGAAACGACACACTTGTCGTCCGTATTGCATACAAATTTTTCATGCCGCTCCAACGAGAGTTTTCAATTTCATCTTATCTCTAGGGGGAGAGACAATTTTCTTCTTTAAAAAAATATTAAGCTAATTAATTCTAAATCTAAAATAGTAAAAATAAAGGCTGTTAAAAAAATCTAAATTCGATTTTTTAAAAAGATTTTTAGAACGGCTAACAGATAAAAAAGCTTATTATTTGAACAATTGCAAGTCTACTTTTAAGCAAAAATTTAACTAAAATGTTTTTATTATAAAATATTTGAAACAAACTATGGAAAAATATAGTATTAAAGTTTCGATCAAAGAAAACCGGTTCAAGATGAAAAAGTTCGAAGGAGACAAAATCGATTTGGAACGTCTTTTCGAATAGTTTTGACACGAAAAAAGTACAAAGGCACACTCACTATTGAAAAAAAAATTCTTCCGAGAGTCCGGCCAAAAGCACCACGGGCAACGCCAACTGCAAATCACCACAACGATTAATCTATAGTCTCCTTCCGGTTTTTCTTTTTCTTTTTTTTCTAAATTTTATTCTCAATCGTTCACGCGTATATTAATAATCGCCGGCGATCTCGAGCGACACGTTAACTATGTTCTTGTTGAGTTACTCAAATTATTTATTAGCAGACCACAGAGCACAAATTGTTGGAGCTGTTAGGCGATACTCCCAAGTACACTTCCTCCGTAACGAAGAACAACATCATGTAATCTCAAATTTATTGTTTTTACACCTGCCATTAAGATATCTGACTCGCTGGACATTTACTTGCAACATCAGCCCCGTCTTCATGCTGCAGCACTGAAAGGTTGGTCGCTACGTCCGTAGTCTGCGATATACGAATACGACAAACTGAGAATTTCGATGAAACTGGATCGCTTTATAGCCACGCTCTCTTACCCTCTTTCTCTCCACGCACTCGTACTTTTCATTTTTCCCCTCGGCCACGGTTCATCAGGTGATCGCTGAAACAACTTTATGATTCCAGACACATATATCGCCGCACTGTTGTAATCACTTCCTCGCAACTATCATGTGCAGAGCACTGTGAGTGATACGTTCACAAAAAGAACGGTTTTGCTAAATAAATATTAAATGATTTAACGGGCAAAAAACGAGTCAAAATAAAAATATTAGGTACAATTAAAAAGAGAAAATAAAAATATATATTTAAATTATAAGCAACAAACGTTTCGACACCAATCGGGTCATTTTCAATGTTGACAAATTATTAAAATATTAACGGAAATTTAACAAATAATTCGAATAAATAACATTGGTTGTTCATTAAGATGCTTGCCATAATGTAGTCGGTTTTGTTAAAGTATCTAAAAATTTATAAATAGCTTATAGGTACACGAAAGAAACAATTTTATTGAAATATCTAAAAATGTAGCTAGAGAGAGATTTGAAAATAATTTTATTGAACCGTCGAAATAATTTTGTAGCTCTAAAACATGATGAGCTGCAAAAATAACTTTTGATATTCTAGCCATCAGTTCGAGTATCCCTACATAATTATTTTAATAGTTCAACAAAATTATTTTCAAATTTGCAACATCTAGCTAAATTTTTAGATATTTTAGCAAAATCTTTCGTGTTACGATGCGCGTTATTAATGAATGATTAATAAATAGTGTTTATTAATTAAATAGCTATAAAAATATTTTCTAATATAGAATATAAATAATTTACGAGCTTTTTGAGTTGTTTAATCTTTCCGGCAAGTTGTATATCGAATCTCGTACATCGTTTCTATATCGATAACATTTTATACCTATACCTCTATTTAAAAACCGTTTTCTTGTTGCAACGACAATCACGATAAGAAATTATTTACACCTATTTCTTGCAATACATTGCAAGAATTGAAATCATGTTTTTATTTAGTACGCTTTCGATAATAGAAATAGATAAAATATACCGGAAATTCTCTTCTTTAAATTATCTTGCATAGCAAATATACATATATATGTTCTGATTGAATTCAATCTGAATGTTTTGTGTTTCCAGTGGAAACAGTTCTCATGATTATCAGTTAAAATTTATAGATCTCGCTCCGAGAGAAGAGAATCTTCAGAGATATTTTATCTATCTTTATTCAATCTTAGAACATATATGTATAAACGTCCTAAGAATTCAATCTGCAATGCATGTGCCTCGTGTTTACAACAAAATGGTTTTTACGATTATTTATCAGTTAAGATTTACAGTTATCTTCGAAAGAAGAGAATCTTCGAGGATATTTTGTTAATGTTTATTGTTAAGTATGATGAAAAAATTAACACAAAGTTTTATGTATCAATTTTGCAAAAAATTAATTTATTTTTTATTGTAATAAAAAAAAGATTGATTCCTATAGCTGCTGACGTCATATCTCAATATAACAGTAAAGAAAATAGAACGTGATACACACAATGCTTTCTTGATATGTATATCGCTTCAACGGCACAACTAAAAAAAAAAAACAAATACAAAGCTCAAGTTAATAAATAACGTTCCTTGTAATCGACAAGTCGCAATTTTGCTTCATAAACGGTAAAATACGTCAATGCGCGAGAGGCAAGATTCACTTTAATGACTGACTGGAAATCGGTGTCTTATACTAGTGCACAGGATGTTCCACATGCGATTCTAATCGAGGATTACGATTATACCCCGCGGGTACCTTTCACATTCACGCATAAAACGGAAAATGAAGAAAGGTGAAACTGACATTGGCGGATGCTTATCATCGACGCGACAGGCTCGTCCGAATAATTATCACATTTTCACGCAGGACATACATCACGCACATGTCGCGCTTAAATCCGTAATAGATGAATACACAATAGCGATCGTTTCTCATCGATTTTTTTTTAAATTCACTTTCTTTTTCAATTCTTACTTTTCTTTTCTAACTATTGCTTTTCTTATTACTTATACTTTCAATTTTATGTACCTTTTCATTTCGCATAAAGTGCGAAAATTTAATTTTATAAAAAAAGATTTTGTCAAAGAAAAAGAAAAAATAGTTTATTATCAGATTATTTCTTATCTCAATGAAGTAAATGTCAACGTTGACAATCAAATGTTGGCATTTAATGATCATGGGTTTATCCAGGAGGGTTGGAAACTCACCCCTCCTGAAATAAAATGAATAGTAATGTTTACCAAATGTTAGCATTTAACTGATAAGCATGGGCTTATTCAGAAGGGAGTTTACCACCCCTCGAAATTTATAATTAAAAGTTATGATTAACAAAATATTTTTTAAATTCAAAATTAGAAAAAAGAAAGATCCATACAGTATCCGACAGACATTCTGGGAACGTCTTTATAACGTT